TCCTCGTGTTTCGAGAGACATAGTAACATGCGTCAATGAGATCAAGTATCTTGCATGTCGAGAGGTCAAAATATTCAAGTTAATAAAGTTCAACATGAAATTCTAACATTTCAGCTAAAATTTGCTGCGATTATTGAATTGTTGAAAACAGAGAGGAGTGAAATAGCACTGGGTGAGGAACAGAAATGAAAAACATTTCAACGTGCAGTGAGTGGTGGAAAAGTGTCGCGATGATATACAATAGTACGACGAATGATAAGCTTTTGCGCAGACGACTTGAGCAGATTGTTAACAATTGAAAATAGGGAGAGGTTGAGATTGATAGAAGTGAAAAATAGTATAACGTTAGGGATTGAGAAAATGGTGAGTGTATTAATTATTTGAGAGGACAGAGTGTTAACATGAAATGTATTTGGCCGTTTGTTTGCGGCTTTTAATTCCTCTCTGCAATACGGTTGTGATTCTATTTCGTTGTACAGTATTCCTTACTCACCGGAATTTCTGGTAACTTCGTCCTTGACTAACTTCGACCTGAAGGTACTGCAAGATACAGATTGCTGATTCCATGACTGGGTAAAGCTCGCGAATGTATCCCATAGAAAATATTAGTGATTTCCATGGTCTTAACACTATTACAAGTGATATTTTGCAGGAAAAAAGCCCGGTCAAAGCTTCCGTGGCGTAGGAGCAGATGTCCAGTATTGGCAGCAGGAGAAAAAATCCATTGAATTTAAGTTTGCCGGCAACGGTCAAAGAAAAGGATGATTTGAGGAAGGATGGAACAAAAGACAGAAGTATCTTTTCGTTGGAAGACCAAATTAAGCAGATGACACTCACTGAACCACAGAAGCTACGAATGCAAAAATGGATCAAGGAGAAGAAACTTGTTAGTTAATTAGTTGGCTAATTAGCTCGTTTCAATTTCTTCTCTTGCTGTTTTAGAAATGAATTTTCAGTTCATTTGTTGCAGGTTCCATTGAATGAATTGAATGAGGATATGTTGGAGAAGATGTGTGAATTGGGACACGGTAATGGTGGTGTTGTGAGTAAAGTAATACACAAATCGAGTAAGATAATCATGGCAAGAAAGCTTGTTCATCTGGAAGTGAAGCCGTCTGTGAAGTCGCAAATCCTGAAGGTACAAGATGGTCGGTTCTTTTCTGAGATCCGTAAATTCCCACTGTGAAGCATCAGTGTTTTGTTTTACTTGCTTTCCATGGCCTTCTTGCTTCCATCTTTGGCATGGAAAAAGAAACCGTAGAATGCCCTGGAGTACGTCATACTGCGAAATTATATTAATGTTTTTTCTTATGGGAGATTTGAGGATTTTGTACTACTCATAAAACATTTCAGGAGCTAGATGTGCTGAATAAATGCAACAGTCCATATATTGTTGGATTTTACGGCGCTTTTACTGATAACAATGATATATCCATATGCATGGAGTACATGGATGGGTTATCATTGGATGTTGTTTTAAAAAAAGTTTCTTTTTCACATTATTTAGAAATCTTTCGACTCCATAATCTTCGGAATTCCGAATTTGCTCGTTTGAGTTACTTGAAAAATAAATGAAATTACTCACAGAATTCGAATTTTTAAATGTTTTCATTTTATATTTGTTTTATCTCAATCCTTGCTTTTATTAATATTTCGCCAAACCCACGACATGTTATTTTCAGGTTGGTAAACTAAGAGAATCGCGTGTTGGTCGAATTGCTGTTGCTGTTATACGCGGACTATCTTACTTGAAAGATGAGCATAAAATACTGCATCGAGGTCTAACTATATTTTCTGTCTCCATCAGGTCATGGAATTGTAGCATTAAGAGAAGGATTAGAACAGAGATTTCCCGCAAATTTTTCACTTTTCGTTTTAGATGTTAAGCCATCAAATATATTGGTTAACAGTCATGGAGAAATAAAATTATGTGATTTTGGTGTTTCGGGCATGTTAATTGACAGCATGGCTAATAGCTTCGTTGGCACTCGGTCGTATATGGCGGTATGTCATTCCATTGAATTCTTTCTGGATCATTTTTAATTTACCGAGATTAATTTATGAGTATCCTATTTAATTTCTATTTGTTTAATAATAGGAAAGTTTGTGGGTTTAAATTATGGTTTTTCTGTTTAATTAATTATTTTCAGCCGGAACGATTGACAGGAAGTCATTACAATGTGCAATCGGATGTATGGAGTTTTGGTTTATCGCTTGTAGAATTGTCAATCGGACGATATCCAGTGCCAGCGCCGACGGCACGAGAATATGCCAAGCTCTTCAACATTCCGGAGGAAGAAGTAGAATTTCCAGAAGGCACGATACCACCAACGTCCGCTGCTCTGTCTACACCAAGAACGATGGCAATTTTTGAACTACTTGACTATATTGTTAATGAAGTAATCTAATTTTAAGACTATTTTCTTTTTACTTTTTAGTTAAAAGATACGGTGACGTTCCTATAATATTTATGGTGACAGTTTCGCGAAACAAATATAAGTATGGAAAAGAAATAGACGTTTTTCTTAGTTTGACCTCTACAGTTAGCTTATTGTGGATGAGGATTACTAATCCTTCATTTTTTCGAAATTTCATAAATTTCATAGATAAAATTCGAACAGAATTTTTGTTTTATTTTAGGCACCACCATTGTTGCCAAAGAATATATTCAGTGATATCTTTATCGATTTCGTTGGAAGATGCGTTAAAAAGAATCCCATTGAAAGAGCCAATTTAAAAACATTAAGTAACCATGAATTTTTTATAAAACATGCGAACGCGGAAGACAGTGGTGAATTTGCACGGTTTATAAATGATACGATAGGAATGAATCATCATTCATAGTTCGTAAACTTCCAGTTTCGTATTCTGAACACTGCCTTAAATTAAGCTTCGGGCTTATTCTGGGCGTTTATACTCAGCATATTTCTAAATTAATTTGTACTGTTTCTAATACTTTTCTGGCTGAGGCTCTTACAACGAGCTGACATTTTGTCTTGTGAAGTATTTATAAAATCTTGAACTTTTGATAAATAAACAGTCAAATAAATTGGTCTTATGATATTTACTTTCATTCCAGTGAGAGGTTTCATTCGAATAGCACCACTGTTTTTTTCTTTCTATCGAATATTTCATCCACTTTCTTTTCGCTAAAATTTTTCCATATGCTCGAATTTCAGCGGCTTCATTCTTGGCTCTAGTACTGTGATTTGATAACAATGATTTTACTTTAAAAATTTGCTGGTAAAATTGATTCCCAAATAACAATATGAAATCTAAGACAAGAACATATAAAGATTTAGTCAAGCCATTATACTACGGATTGCGATGAATTGGAAAATGCATTTAATAATAAGAATTCTTCTTATAGGCATGTGAATTAGTTTCTTTGTTCTTTCCAATGTTCAGTTGAGATAAAATTATTTAATCCACAAAATTATATCAAGAATAGACAGAAAAGAAAAAAAAGGATCACTTTGACTGTGTTTTCAAATTGTCTCATCAGTCCATAATATTTCCGACACTTATCAGCTGTTTTTTAAATTTTATAGCAAATTGTTAAATTACGATTAGCTTTTATACTTCGGATTTCAGCAGCTTCGCGTTTATCTCTAATACTGTAATGTGATAAAAAATGATTTTACTTTTAACATTTGCTGGTAAGATTAATATTTCCAGATAACAATATGAAATCTAAGACAAAAATGGAATAAAGACTTGGCATTACCATTATATTTGAACAGATTTAATTCCTACTTAGTTATGTAACAGACACACATGCACGAAAAAGCTTTCATTTTCTCGGAATTATCTTAAACGTACGGATTTTTTCAAGTGACAGTTCTAGGAGTTAAAAAAATCCCTTGATCTCAATATTTGAAAAAAGGGAGAGCAAGTCTGTATTTTTGTTACATTTCAAAGAGTTTCCAACACACTAACTACATTCGTCGTTCAGTATGAAAGTACTGAAGTGAGTTACTATTCAGCTTTAAATATGAAGCGAAAGGGATTTCGAGCTGCAGAGAATTTCGATAACGATACATGAGGTCTTGCTGCTGTCAAGTTTAATTTCTGAGTATTTTCTGGATTCCTAGCCGTTTTTTATAGAGGTATTTTCGTCTGTTAGTCGTTCTTCGACTTTTCCGGTACGGAATCACCAGAGGGTTCTAGAAAAGATTTATTTTTATCCTGCATGAGACATGTTAAAATTTCCGCGTCTCCCACGAAATTACTAACAAAAATGCGTTTATTCATAGCACCATCAAATATTTCACACATATGCAATACTTATTGTAATATTAACAGTCAGGAAAACAAACCTGTAGCTGTCTTCTGGTATTTCAACTTATTCTCACCGTTTCTTCCAAAACACAATGTTGCCACAATAAAAAGTACAGCAATCAAGGGTATAAAAACGTGGATGCCTGAAAGACAAACAATTTTAAGAGTGGTAATATCGAGGAATCATATACTATTTGGTAAGATCGGAGGAAATCAGATAGTGAGGAAGAAAAGCTTCGTGGTGAGGGTATCATCATCCACTGAATTGCAGAAATAACATATAATTGCAGTGCAACAAGGGAACAAATCCTTCCCTACAATTTTTATTGGCTATTATTCCTTTGCTAAAGTTACGAAATGCACTGTTATAAAACATTAGCTTATATAAAGGTGAAGCAAACCTTCGACAAAATCATAAACGACATCCATCTGATAGTTCTTAAAGCAAATAAGGGAATACTGAGCAATCGGTGCTCGTTGCTAACTTCGCCCTCACGAATCGATCAGGCTCTCTTCACCTCTCTCATTCATTCATCAAACTACTATACATATGTCTGTTGTGTATAATGAAATCAGTAGAATTTGTCTCATGAATTTAAATCAATCTAATTTAATTTTTCGAAAGCAAACTTAGCATTTTTTTGGATCAGTTTTCTAAGATCACTCAGACAGAACCTATTTAAGACAAACAGCAGAAAAACACAGATAAATAAATCAATATGTTATGTGATGTGGGACAAGCGACATCATTTGCGTGGTTTGTCACGAGATTCCGACCGTGGCAGTTAAACGTATATGTTAGGATGTAGGTTTGACTACTTCGCGTACTACAAGTATTTCCTCGTTCTGCTGCATCATTTACTTACGTTTATCCTCTTATTCGCATTTCTCTTTATTCATATCTGTTACGTTTCTCACAAAATCATAGCTTAAAAAAGTTTTATGTGTAATATGAAATCCAGCTTAAACACTAATATAAACTTTTAAATGTGCTTATCCTTTAAAACTTTTATGAAGCCTTGAAGTAAGGCTTTCGAGCTGCATCGATAATGCCATACTGATAAGTATTTCATCCACACATTTCGTTCTAAAACTAAAACGTTTCACATTTTGTCCTTCTTATAGCTCGGATTCAAAAATTTACGACGATTTAATTTAATTTAATTGTTTGCAAAAATTTACGACGATTTAATTTAATTTAATTGTTTGCAAAAATTTACGACGATTTTTATGTTTAAAGGTGCTTCTTATGAGTAGAATTTTGTGTCCAAACCCAAGGTTTATATTAACGATATGTCCAGTATTTTATTTCAGGTTGCTTATTAGTCAGGCATCAATCGTACAATAAAAATGGTAATGTTGACATATTCATAAATGGAGTGTAGATTGACTTACTGAAATCTTTCGCTTCGTAAACCCCTAGTTATAATTATTTGAAAGTTTCAAATCCTTTTCCTTTTTCCTAGTTTCTGATTTCCGTGATCTAATATGGTTACTACATGTCATTCACATTTACATTTCCTGATGTACATTGTGGAAGCACAAGAATAGAAAGCTGCAATTATGACAAAAAATATAGTCTGAAGGGTGAATTGAAATATCTTCATTAATATTAATTATAAAGTTTCAGATATCTTTAACATACCTTCGGTTTTAACATGATTTTTCAGCCGAAGCACAAGAAGTGGATTGATAAAAAACATTCTAGAAAATTTCGTTTGGTCCATCAAAATCGAAGTGATGATAACAATGATAATGGACACGTGCAGCAGTCGACTAGAAAAAAAGTGATAACTCTTGAATAATGTGAACAATGAGGTTTTTTTGAAATGTAAAATGTACATTTTACATTTGAAAAAAGATGTAAAAGAATGTTGCCATAAGAATCACCAAGAGCTCATCTTTGTGTAGGAATTTACGGTTCCGATGCAGCTTCCAAAAAAAATAACAGAGCATATAACTGTCAACATCAACCTTGCGCACTACTGCTACAAATGAAATTGGTCGAATTTCGTTGTGTATAAATAATTTTCTATAAACTTCTATTGCAGGATATGAAAGAATATGACAGATGTGGCATATATTTCGATGATGACTACGACTATTTACAGCATTTAAAGGAGGTAAATAAGGTAAGCAGTGCAGTTTTTTTTAATATCTGTGCGTGTATTCGTTTGAGTCATTTATTGATCATTGTTAGTACCATGATGAGAATACAAAGGTATCAGGGTATAGCTATCTCTTGCAACATGATGAAGGAGGAGTTGACAAATCTCATTTTTTATTAATCATCGCTCGCAAAGCACTAGGAAATTTTGTGCACTTGCAATGATTTAGATTTCAAAAGTTACTATTTAAAAAATGCTACTGCATAAATGATCTGAAATACATGATTTATTTGAAACCTTTAAAATTTTGCTTTTGTCATTTTTTTATTCTGGCATCTTTGCCTATTCCATAGCTGAATAAAAGTTACAGTTCTCTAGTTGGACGTATCTTCAATGCTCGGATTAGAAAATAAGCAGTAGATATCGGAGTAAAAACATAGATACGAATTTTTGTATCTTTATTGGAATTCCATCTGATTTCTTCTCAGAGTTAGAAGCAAATTGAGAGAAACAAGTGGATCTGCAGGTAACAGAAAATGGAATGGAACAGTCAATTATTAGAGTACCGTCGGGAAAAACAAATATTTTAACAAATATATTCGAAGCAAATGGCTATGAAATCAATGCTGAATTGCTGAAGAAGGGGACGTTACCGGGTATGTTTAGGAGATAAAAATGTTATCAATAGTCTGGTTTGACTTATTATTTTCGAATTTCTTTTACTTTTATCCTTTACATGATTTGTTTTCAAACTTCTCCAAAAACAACATCGGATTCTAATATGGATGTTTTAATCCATGTTGCTGTCTGATTCTGATGACAGACGATTCGAATGAGAAAAACCCTGCGTAGGTGTACTAGTTTCGTTAGTGAAGCAAACCACATTAAACTGATGGAAAGGGATCCAATATGCTCAAGGATGAATAAACTGTGGTCATCATGCGGCAGGATTTCCTTAAGAATATCTCTCCGCACAGGACTGAAATGATTGTTTTGATGCTCGAATGACTCTGATTAGGTCTGATTGAAGCAGAGAGAAAAACAGAGATTTTCAAGGGACTTTGCGGGGTTCTGAATTTCTTGAAAATATTCTAGGCGAAATGCACATCGATCCATATGTTATTGCCGAACTAAAAAGTGATGATGATGTCGAATTTGAAAATCCAACTAATGACCTAGATGATGATTTTGTCTTGCAAGCTAGTGGTGGTGAATTACCTCCGTTACAATTACCGATATCATTTTCGTTGCGGAAGAACGAATTTCGTGAGAAACCCATTAATAATGATGACGATAGCTATGAAGAAATGGAACTCGGTATACCTTTAATAATAGTGTAAAAACGGATGGTTTCTTCGAGTTTTTTGGTTTTCCTTTTAAAAGAAAAAGATATCAAGTTTTTTACCGCTGGAAGCCAATTGCTTTGTAAGGAAAGATACAGTGAAATTATTCAAACTATCAAACGAGTCATTTTTTATCCGTCTTTGAAGTTTCGAACTATGATGATGATCAAATGTCGGAGGAGGATTTTTTCGTTCCTATGAAAAATAAAGAAGAGATGCGACCGATTGATGAGAAATTCGATAAATTGTGTGAAGAATACAGTGAAACAGATGGTGAGGAAAATGAGGTAGTGTTTTTGAAAGTGATAATAGTTTTGCGCATGCGTATGAAATTTTCGTAGTTCTTTCTAGGAAGTTTAACTAAATTGAATTTTAGGATGAAGAGAAGTTTCTTTTGGATCCAAACTCTGATAGAATGAAAATGCTTGCGGAAGATTTCAAAAATAGAAAAGTGGAACTTGTTCTGGTTGATATTTTCTTTTTTATTCATTTGTTTGCTTTATATGTATTTAGATATTCTTTCAGCGTCATTTTATACGCGGTTCTGATTTAGTTACTAATTAATTGTCATAGAAGGTAGGACAAAAACTGTGAAGAGTAATGTTATAATATGACTTCATTCAATTATGGACAAATTTTTCAGCAAAGGGATGTATTGGCTCAGCGTTATGCCGAAATGAATGATGAAGGGCTGGAGGTTGATGAAGAGATGGAAAAGATCACGATAGTTTGTCCTAAAAGAAAAGAAGCCAAGTGGGACTGCGAGACGGTTGTCTCAGCTTATTCCAACATTTATAATCGACCTGCTCTCATCAATGATTTTACATGTAAACAAAAATTGAAATCGGTTCTAAAGCAGCTAGAAGTTTGTTCATTTTAATATTGTTTATTCTTCTAAAAACTTAGATTTCTTTCTCTTTCATTTTTTCTTATTATTGAGTTGTTTTATTTCCTGAGTGCTTTTCTAATGAGTTTAATGCAAATATAGCATTTCTTTTTAGCAGAGACTAATTAATTTTTGAAACTTATGGCTTCTACCGGTTTTAAAAACATCGCATTAAATTGATAACCACTCTGACAGTTAACTTTGTTTGTTTAAAATTATTCATATATTTACATCTACTTACCACATTGCAAATCGAAGGTCAAAAATTGGGCGCTCAGTTTTTTAAACTTTAAATGACAAATTTTTTACAGAAAATGGACTATTCAGTTCAGTCAGGAAATAAGTCAGCGATTTCAATAGTATCCTCATCAACGATAAGAAAACGTGGGGAAACAGCGGAAGAACGAAAAACAAGGAAAGCAGCTGTCAAAATGATTCGAGCCGAGCGAAGAGCAGAAAAGAAATGTAATAAATTAACATTCAAGGAAGAGCGAAAGAAAGCGGCCGCATGGTGCCGTGGTTCTGCTGTTAAAATGATGCCTATTGTGTGAATAATTATGTGTCTATAACAGCTGAATTCATGAAATGTCAATGTCTTGGCTAAGGTGATATTTTGTTGATGACTTTTAAAAAACTAGTAAAAAAACATTTTTGACGGCTCATGTATAATAGGATTTCCGTTTTTTTGACTCTTTGGCGTATTCAATATTTCCAAAAATCGGATTTCTGGAAAGTTAGAATATTTTTTTTATTAGTTATAAGCTGTGGTTTTTGTTTTCATTTTATATTTAAGATAAAAATGAAGGAACAGACTTTCGTCGATATCGACAACATTTTAAAAGAATTACTATTTGATCATTTTCATAAAGGTCAGCTGTGGATAAATTTTAAATTATTGTTGTTGGGTGTAATTATTGTTTTAGTTGGAAATAAAAATGTTTATTTTTTCTCCTTGTTCAGCGTAATTTTTGGATGTTATAACGTGATCATCATTTCGTGAAAGTTTCGGAACGGAAATATATCAGTTATTTATGTGGCACTCTTCGTTATACAGCTTGCGAAGCAGAAATCTCTGATTTAAAAGAAAATATATTTTACTTTGTAATATCGCCTTTAGCGTTTTTTTTAGTAGAGGGCATCGTCATGAAATTTCAGATTTACATTTAATAAGTTCCGATTCATATGACAATTGGCTTTTTATATCATCTATTATCGCTACTCATTTCCTTTATGGATTATTCATTTTATTTATGAATTGCATATATGATAACTGACAACTGTTTATTATTCTTTTTTAATCGGTTTTATTAAGATTTAGTTTGATATTTTGATGGCATTTTGGATTTTTTCATGGACCGCATGGATTTCATGGGTTTTCTCTATTATTCTTATCTCGGCCATAAATTGGGATGATGAGATTATTGCTACTTCAGAAGAATTAAGTCTTTCTCATGATGGTCCATTATGGACTTATTTTGGTAATAAAGCTGAAAATGTTTCAATCTTCCATTCCCGTGAATATATTCAAGAACGCGTGGGCAAGCTCAAAGATGTTGATCCGGGAAGGTTATTTCTTTTGTGTCGTGAATATAATTATAAGTTAAATAGATGCGAATAATTTACTAATATTTAGATTTAGGCAGTTCAATTGGAATTTAAAAACAAAATGCTATTTAAATAAAATCCCACTTTTTTTGCTATTGCTTACAGAATTTTCAACCATAATTATTTATCTATGACGGCTTGGCTAAAGGAATATGCTGCAAAATATCCAAACATAACGTGGTTATATTCAATTGGTGAAAGTGTGAGGAACAAAACGTTATGGGTATTGGCCATTTCAAAAAGTCCTCGGATCCATAGGCTTGGTGTTCCAGAGATCAAATTTGTTGCTAATATGCATGGAAATGAAGTATTTTATTTATCAACTTAAACTCTGTTGTAATATGTTTTATATGATTCGGAAAATCTAACACAAAAAACTTTAATTAGTTAAGATTGGTTTAATTTAAGTAAATGACATATTTGAGAGTAATTATGGGTAAAGGTGTAATTAGAAGTGTTGCTCTTCATTTTACTTTTCACTAGGCTAAGACATGCATATTTGTAAATTTTTTCTGAACATTAAATACACTAGTAAACCACTATAATATGCTAGGTGTGTTCATTCGTATTATAATTCAATTATGTACATGATCATAGTTATAATATTTGTTTCTATATGATTTCGAACATAACATTGTATTATACATGAAAGAATAGTTGTAAGCCGTTATTTTCACGTAATATTTAAGGTTGTAGGCCGCGAGGTAATGCTCTATCTTATTGCGTTGTTGTGTGAGAATTATGGAAAGAACCGATATCTGACGAATTTAGTAAATAACGTACGAATTCATATTATGCCTTCAATAAATCCAGATGGTTATGAAATGGGAAACGAAGGTGATCGTTCTGGATTTACTGTAAGTTTGTGCTCTGATTATAACCAATTTTGCGATTTAGAAGCTAAGCTGTTATTATTCTGGATATTATTCTAAATTTTCAAATTTTTTCCAGATCTAGATATTGTTTTTAGTCGCTATATTAAGTGATTATAAAAAATCACTAATATTAATAGAATTAAAAAAGGAATGAAAATAGTTGGATAATAGTACTAGTATTATTAATTCAGAAAGAAACTCAATACTGAATCCCTCATATTTGGTATTGAATTACTTATCTTTTCTGCTAATTTTATATAAAAATTGCTACTCAAGAATTTTATAGGGTCGTTCAAATGATCACGGTGTCGACCTTAATCGGAATTTCCCAGCACGTTTTCCTTCACATCGAGAAATATCTGGAGGAGTGTTTCTTGAAAAAGAAACGTTGGCAGCAATTAAATGGTTCCAGCAGTATCCATTTGTCCTTTCTGCTAATTTCCATGGAGGTTCTGTTTTAACTCCTCTTTATATTATTGACAACTTAGAAAATTCTCCGCTTTCTTACCTTCATGTAAAAGTTTTTTGAAAATTTTGGAGGAATTTTTGAGTGGAAATTTATTTTCTTTTCTACAGTTCTTTGGAAAAATAGGAGCAATAAAACGAAATGAAGGTAGATAGATGCTTTAGCAATTGAGTTTTTTATATAAAGTGAGCTCAAAATCTCTTTGTTGATTTAGAATTCCTGTTTTCTTTTTTTTCGGGCTAATATACTACTGACTACCCTACTTTTCCTTCTTTTATAGAGTGAGAGATGAAAATTTTCATCAAGCCAAGGATGCGTACCACATTTTATTCAAAATATGAGATAAAACTTGGGAATCCTTTTTTATTGAAAATTGGTATTATTTGTAATAGTGCTTAATTGTGTCTTTTGAAAAAACATGGCCTATAAGTATAAAAAAGTTTATAAGGAAAAAGATTTTTTAGTAAGCTTTTCAGGTTCGTTAGTAGCTAATTATCCTTACGATGATTCAACGACAGGGCAGGACAATATTTATTCGCCAACTGCAGATGACCGTCTTTTTGTAGCTTTAGCATATTCCTATGCTCGAGCACATTCTAATATGTGGAAAACTGGCCGAAGGTGGGTCAATGTTTGTCTCAATTTTTTTTCTTTAATTAAGCTCTAGGAGACTTTACTTTTCAGTTATCTATAAATTAAAAAATTTAGGGCCAACATTCAACATTTATTGCTTATTTTAATCATGTTGATTTTGTTGCCTGAAAAAATGCTTTAGTTAGGCCCAGGACTGTTTTAGAAAATTTTGCTATTGAAGATGTGGATTGAATGTTGATGGTGATTTCTTTTTGAATGGTATTACAAATGGTGCACTGTGGTATCATATAGCTGGTGGAATGCAAGATTGGCAGTATGTCAATACAAATTGCTTGGAAATTACAGTAGAGATGAGTTGTTACAAATTTCCTAGAAAAAGTATGTTGCCGCAACTATGGAATGAACATAAGTATTCACTTCTTGCATACATGGAGTACATACATCGAGGTGTCCTTTACTTCTTTCCTTTAGTTTTAGGATATACGTTCTTTGTATTTCTTCTATCTGTTATGTTTGTTTTTCGCTATTATTCGTATGTTTGTTTCTCACTATTACCGGATAAGAGGAGATGGGTTAAAATATATAGCTTGAAATAATTAAATTCTGGATTTAGCATTTTCTTGATATTTGGTCAAGTTATTTTACGTTCAGGAATAAAAGGATTTGTACTTGATCAGAAGGGATATCCAATAAAAAATGCCGTATTATCGATTAATCAGGGAAAGAGTATCGCAACAACGGATGAAGGCGAATTCTGGCGAATTCTGCTGCCTGGTACATACACGGTATTCTTTTTTGATAATTTATAACAATATTTCAAGTTTTATTCATGTCGAATGGATGTACTTTTTTTTGTTTTGAGGTGTTGGTTAGTCATCGAAAGTATCTACCAAAAATTTTCAATATAACCGTAGATGAAGGATCTGCAAAACTTGTCAATATCACTTTGGAGCAGAAACTCTGCAGAGAAAACAGTTCAGTTCCTTGTTTGAAAATATCATTTCTAACATGATTTCTTCACAGAGGTGTTTTGCTGGCATCAAATGTTATTTCACTGATGCTGATAACAAAAGTTTCTTAAATGTGTATATTTTAAACGTTTGAAGATAGTTTTTGGTTTTGATATAGTGCTCAGATAATGTTATATTACAATTTTATGCCTAGTATTCGAAAGTTCACTTATATAGCAAATAATGATTAATAATATAAATTATATAACAATATAAATTTGATCTTAATATTAATGCAGTTGATGGTGTTCGTATAAGGGGAGAAGGAGCAGTACGTATTGCGGTGTTTGGTGTCGATTCATTGGGGTTGTCGATCGTTCAGGAATTAGGAAATGCTACCTGCTTACCGGAGGATTTATTTGTTCCAATACTTCGGCAATCTACCTTACATTTGCTGCCGTCATTGTCAGCAGAACATGTTCTTTACTTGAAGGTTATTTTATTTAGAGATTAAATTGGAAAGTTGAATTTGATCTCAAATAATAATATCTGCTACGTTATATTTTTTACATGGTCTTAAAAAAAAATATGTGCGTACAACAACAACGCTATTGTTTTTCTGGAACAATGCAGATTTTTTTCATAGTAGAATGCTGATTGTTTTGTTTTGATTGCAGGATCATGAACTAGATGTGTTATTATTGTTTGGACAAGGATTACCAAAATCAACTATATTTAGTGCCGGGATTAATACTCCTAGTCAGTTCGATCAAAAGAAATTTGATGATAGTTTAATGGTGTAAGTCGTCATTTTTCAGTCGATTTTATTTTGGTATGTAAGAAATCATTTGATAGTTCTAATTGTTTCCACTCATGGCGTAGGTGGAAACTATCTCATTTTTTTACAAATAGAGTAATCAGCATTTCATCAGTTGCATGCCGAGAATTAATTCTTACCCCAAAATGACTTTCTTTATTAAACAATTTTGTTTTTGCGGTACGCTGGATAATAAAACAATTGGCTGTGCTAATCATATGCTGGACAATACAGTTTCATCGATGATTGATACGTTAAATATAATGAAAACATTTCAACTCGGTGTTTCGTTAGGTTGTGACTTCAGTCGGCCAGAACTAACACTTGCGACCGTTGCTGCTGTTCTACAGGTATAATTACAAAATCTTTGAAATATTAGCAGAATTATCTGTTCTTCATACTCTAAATGCTAAATTTCATGTTGAATTTCGGAAATTCTGAATAATAAATTTTAGATTGTAATAAATGTTTTTGCTGGTGTGAAAAATCTTGTAACAGAATATTCGGCGACACCACCTATATATTTGGCAGATTACTTTTTACCAGTGAAGACAACTGAAGCAAATAGTGCTAACCTACAGCGTATCGAAGAAAAGAATTGCGCTTCGATAATTAATATTGGTTTGATGAAAGCTATAGTATTCGGCAATGGCCGTATGCCGCATACTCTTGTGATGGCTGTTGAACAGGTGCACTGATTTCAGCACATTAAATGAAAAGCAGTAAGAAAAGTAGAAAAAGCAGAAATAAGAGCTATTTAAACGTGGATCAGGATAAATATTAAAAAAAGAAAGCAAAAATTTTTTCACTTGTTTTTTTCATTCCCTGTCGAAGTAATTTTACGATAGCTGCATAGAATCATGGTTATCTTTCACCATATGATTTAACTTGATTTAACGGCAGGGTTGAACCATTCACTTAAAGTAAGGAAAAATTTCCAAAAAAGGAAGAATTTCCTTTTTTAGATAATTAAGGAAGAATTTCCAAAAATCAATTTTCGAGTAATTAATTTCAGAAGACGTCATCGATGGTTTATGAATTTGCAGCGGATCTTTGCGCAGAATCATTACAAAATCGAATTATACCTGAACTACTGAATACATCAACGCTAATTTTAATTCCAACTATACCATATAAACAGCTATACTGTCATGATTATATGTCAGTGATGCAGTTTAAACCATTCGTTGAACAAGTTTTGGGTATTTACCCTCTTATCGATTATGCTATACTGTTAGGTACAGGTGGGATGAAAGTGCGCTACACCGATGTCTCCAGACTGGGAAGAGCGAAAGATTTGGCATTCAATTATGTTTCCCTTCATTCACTAATCAGACCAACTGGAGGTGAAATATGTAATAGGTAAATGCTCTGTGAATCAATCAGCTTTGAATATCTGAAAAACACATATACATCGTAATACAGGACTATGTTTTCGCTGGCCTGCAGCCACAAACTCCAATCGTTTTTTTGTTCCTGCTTCCTCCCATTTTTTATTTTTTAAGTAAGAGGTTTCTTAATTGTTTCATCCTCCTTCATATGGTTGAAATTTCTTACTTTTTTGATTTGGAAGTCAAATTTTACAATCAAACGCAGCACTAATAGCTTAGAAAGCTGAGGCATTCAAGTTCAACAAAATAATCCGTTTTCACTTGTCTTCAAAAATGTTTTGTTTTTAGGAATGATTTTATACGGCAGTCAACTGTAAGTGAACTCCACTGGCGTATGGAAGAGTGGCAAAAGGCACCGGATATTCTGCTTGTGCAGGCAGCTTGTTGTTATGAAGAACACGGATCGGGACATCTTTATGCAGATAATAAGGTCTCACTCATATCGACTCTTTTTAAGGTTTCATTTTTTTGTGAATTTGAAAATTCAGGCTTACATAAAACTCTTCTATGTTTAAGAGTCGTATCAGAGAAGCAGTGGATCCTATGTAGAAAGATATTGTTTAATACCAAAAGGATTGCAGAGTGGCTTATTTTTGTAATAATATTTCTTTGTCCCTTTAATTGTTCATTGTTTGCTGCCTGGAACACTTTATTGTGTTCGTCTTTCACAATTTTTATTATGCTATCAGCCAGTAGTTATTATTTTTTTCCTTTCTTTTCGGTAGTATTGAAATTTTTATGCAAGGAATTTTTGTAGAGAGTACAAGGTTTATCGGGTACTATCAGAGGAATCTATGGTAAGCCAGTGAAGGCACCGGTAAAGTTAACAGTTGGTAGTTTCGTTTTTTATACGAAACATGATGGTTATTATTATATTTGGTTATCACCTGGAATTCACACCGTTGATGTATACAAGGAGAATTATCATCCGTACACTTTCTCCACTAAAGTACGTTGCTGCTTCAATTTTTAAATTATTTAGATTTGTCTAAGGTCTGTAATAACGTTCCCCACAGACTTATTTTTTTATTTATATTGAGCTATTTTGATAAATTCCGGAAGTGTTTAAAATAATCCGAAATGCGGTTTTGGAAAATTTTTAATTTCCAATTTTAAGAAATAGCACTATTTGTTCTGAAATACTTAAATAACTGCAGATTGTTTTATCCAAGCAGACGATACATGATATATTACTGACAGAATCTTCCTCATTTTCTTCACTTTTCAAGAGAGAAAATTTTTTTATTTCATTCACAGCATTTTGCATTTTGGTACTCGTCTTTGTAAGTGTTATTTCTTATTATCCTATTCATAATCATTTCTTAAAATTTGATAAGTACATTAAATTCAAATTGTTGGGACTGTTTTCTGAAGAATTTCGTAATTTCCTTTACATAGCTGGATTTTTGATAATAATCCAGATGCAATGTGATGTTGACGCGAAACAGAACTTGCTCCTAGAGTCGTAATGCGGGTTAGTAATAGCGTAATTATCAAATGGATTAATTGGAATGGTTTAATAGTTCGTACTATGGTGCAATGAATACTTGTGATAGAATTATTCTGATAGAATGTAAAATTATTAAGGACGCTTTTTTAATTTTAGGTGTTTTGAGATGGTTTTACTTGAAAAAAGTAAAAAACTTTTATGGCTTTAGTTTGGATATAAGGCAAAATATTTCACAAGTGTTTGAAATAAATGAAGCTGTTTTCTCACGTATCCTTCATTTCATGCTACCAAATGTAAGATCTTGAAATGTATTTCCAGATTGGTTTATGCCGATTAAACATTGTGTATAGAGCGAAATCGACAAAACGATGGGGAGATGGCTTCGAGCGCCTTCCTCTGAATGATTTCGATTCTAATGTATCCGATGATGATGATAATTGTTCTTGATTCGACCAAATCATTCCTTCAGTGACCTTATTGAACAGTTAAGAATTATTGCTTAGTTTTTTCAAGACGCATAAAGCATGTTTTTTTGCCTTTTTAGTATTGCATCTCTTTCATTTCGAGCTCTAATTTTTATGCTGTTCCAAATTCTTTTGTGTGCCTTATTTTTTATCCGTATCCTATTTACATATTTGTGTATTCTCATTTTAAATAACAGTCTTTTTACTACCTCCATTACTTATTTTTAAATATAGCCAACATAAAAAAAGTTCAAAACGCAATAGATTTTTTTTAATATACTGAAAATAATGAAAGATTTTACGATTAATAAAAAATAAGTTATAATAGTATTGTGAAGGTAGTAAATAATTGGCTAACTGTGACAGAACATAAATTTTCTCAATTTTGAAAGAAAATAGAAGAAAAGCAAAAAAGTTACTCATTTCTGAATTTCCTAAATATGTGAACTGTTTTTCGAATGTTTGAATTATTTCTGCCCATATTGGAAACGTACATAATGTCGCTTATAATATCATTTTTATAGATTAATTAAATTGCATTTTTAGAGTATCTTTTGAGCTATGTATAATTTTATACGGAAACTAAGTCATTTGTATGAGTGTTTAGAGTGAAAAGTGGTTACCGAATCACAATACAGATTATTTTTTGATATTGCATTTGCTTATTGATGATCTTTTGGAATCTATTTTTGGTTGCCATCATGTAATAATAGCAGAGTGTGTTACTTGCTTCTTAAGAATATAGGAACTACTTCATGCGGCAGAAACGGAGAGATAAGTTTCCTGATGGACTTGCATTAGTTACTCAGCTAATTTATGCTTTTGTTGAGTCTACAAAATTGCCTCCGTAATTTTTCAGAACTTTATTCTTACGCTATCCTGTCTGCATTTTTTTACATTTCAGCCTTCAATAATGAACCTTTCATAGTTCATTTTAGCTCGCCACTTGAATTAACTTCTCGGTCTATTTCTTTGTTTTCTTTCTATAATTTGTTGATGTTCACATTGTACATACCAATTATTAATCAGTCCATTGGGATATATGCTCATTGAAATACTTTCATTTATTACGATGCTCCTTCCTTCGCTCTATTTCTTATTTCTGGACATATCAGCTACTGAGATTTTTATTTCTTTTTTGTTTTTTTTCACTTGCATTCGCTTATTTGTTTAAACAGCCATGTAATTTGATTGCCCAGTTTTAATCAGGTAGTTAAGCATATTGAACAGATGCTCCATTTTGAACTGTACTCAGTATTCTTCGTTTGATATTCTTGATAACGTCACTTTTTTAATGAGTAGTTGTATGCCATTTTTGTGAGAATTGAAGTAGAGAAGGATACTGTTATTCTTGTACAACGTAACTATGGAAAGCTTGAACGGCTATTTGGAATTTTCTATCGTAATCACTGAAGAATTTCAGTCTTCGAGATTTCCGATAAGTTCAGGCTGTTGGAAATTTCCGATCAGGTTAAACAGCTGAAAGTTCGCTGGACTTTGATTCTTCTGCACCACGTCGGTGAGTTCAACATCACTTTGTAGTCGAATTTTCATGTTAGTCCTGAATTTATAATTTATTTTCAAGGGAACCCGAAAATGTTTTCGGGATGTTGTAGAGAAACTTCAGAATTCCTGTCATGCAAAAAAAAATAAGGATTTGAAAATGGGCGGGAAAGAGTATCGCAGAATTAGGAAAAGATTGATCGAGTGATTGAAGATCAATCAGGAATCAGTGAATGATTAAACATGATTGAAATCATCAGGAAAGAACGTTTCCTAAGGATGACGCTGAGGAACGGTGCATGAAGTTCTTATTCAGCTTTTCGGTTTGCAGGAATCCTTCAATGGAATAATATTAGTCAAAAAACGGGGTAGTAACTACGATTCATATAAGCCAGAACCTCTCAACAACAACGCGAATCCTCGGAATCACAGGTTCCGAATAAAATATTTTTAATTCAAATATTTGGTCAAACCAGCCTACAATATTCAACAGCGGAAAAACATCGAAAAATGGAACTCGCACAAAACCGACCGTATGTCTAAGAATAAGAACCCGATTCGTTTTTAGATATTTTAAGTGTAGAATCCGACTTCACCGTAACCCATAGACCGAAGACATAAGTTGCATATGTGAAATAATGGTAGAAATAGGTGGAAGAAATTCCAACACCTGATTAATTGAAGCGATAATCCAATGTCACGTCGAAAGCCAGTTTTTGGAACAAGTGCTGCAAACAAGAGGGATGAAGGTATTACTAACAAGTGTGGAGCACTTCCTGGCTGGCAACAAACTCTTCATGGGAAATAAAATGAATATAAGAATCCCCACTCTAGGCGGACTATATATTTCTGAGCGTTTTTCTGACGACTTTAAAGAATCAATCGATAATATAATCATATGCTAACATCAAAAACACATGAAAAAACTCTAGTGTGATCTACTCACTTTGGTGATTTCAAAACAAGTTAGTAGCTACATTTTGCTTGGATCTTGATTGAGAAATAGGTCCTGTAAATTTATAGCCAAATACCCAGCTTTGAAACTATTATGTTGGTTCTCGATTTCTTTTTCATGTACTCCCACTGACATAGCTGGGTCCTTAAAAAGGATCAAATGACTGCGCCAATGCACACGGATCAAATAACTGCGCCAATACATACTTATTTTAAAACTAAATAGAGCAAAAACCGAATTGCGCCATCCGCATTCTTTATCTCATTGCACTGTTTTTTATGGTTGGTAAAAAAAAAAGTTTGGTAAACGAGTGGACGGCAAACACTCATTAAAGATACATTTATAAATGCGCATTTCCTGATTTAAAAAGAGCATTATGGATTCTAAAAAACAAATTCATGGATAAAATGATTTAAAAGATGTTAAGGATTCTGAATAACAAATTCACAAATAAAAATCATGAATGCAACCAAAGAAATCCCTCTGAGGAAATGAATAAGACCTGATCTAATAAGTTATCAATTTTTTTATCAATAATTTCTTGAATCCACTGCTCCTTTGAAGCTTAAGCGAAAGCATATGCTACGAAGGTCGCAATATTAACGGCGCAAAAGCAAGGAAATTGCTCATGAAAAAGAGATAGAAAAAGCGATGCAGGAAGTTTCGTTTTGAGCATTTTGTGGAATTAGCGGAAAGCCACTTGAAGGAGTATTTACGACAATTTATTGCATTCAGTGTTATTTATTAAGATGACAAAAATTAGAAGACTCTTAAAATGAAATAGCAAACGGTGAGCCCGGTACATTCACATCGCCGTACTTGATAAAAATAAAACCTGTAACTTCTTCCTGAACAAGATACTTCACTACATACTGACCATCACCAAGATGTTGCAAAGCAATTTGTTGACATGGCCCTTTCGATGTCAGTAGACCAACATACAAAATATTGTCTCCTTAATAAGTTAACTTTTTTATCAATAATTTCTTGAATCCACTGCTCCTTTGAAGCTTAAAATAACTGGTCCATTTTTCTCTCTTTGCCAGCTCTACCTAATCCTCATTTCTCTCTTTTAAATGTAAAAAATGAGTTTGCACATTTAAAGCACTCTTCAAGAAAAACGAACCTGCTAGACCAGTGTCGATGTTGAAGACGGCTAAGTGGCCAGGAAAAAATTTATTCAGGCCAGGTCCCGTCACTATAACTTTGCTTGCATCACCGGAAAAAACTGGAGCCTGTCCAATTATATTCTTTCCGACTCTAACGTGCGCATCGATCTTAAATTCGATACCCTTTTACGTTTTTTCTCGAGAATTTAAACAAAAACATCATTAGCATTTGTTATCGTTGTCAGCTATGAAGTGACAACAAAGCGGAATGAAGGCAAAATAACCTTCAAGGATGTACTGCCTGGCTTGCCACCACCAAGTTTTTTACCTTCTACAACTATCTTGAATGGAGAACCAGGAATATGAATACCTATAAAACAATACACATGTTAACGATACAAGTTAGAGCAAAAAGATGTAAGTTAACTGGTTACAAAAACGGAAAATAAATTGAACATGAAATTTAGAGCGGTTTAAAATCCTGATACAATTTGGCATCACCATGGAGCGAAAAAAGAAGAAACGCGAAAAGCTCATTGAATGACGCTGTTCTTTTCTAATTTTTTAAAGGAAAAGGTATGCTTCACTGTGAGCGATGTATATTAAATTCATGATATTCGCGTTCACAATGTAGTCTCCCTTTCCACTTGCAATTTGACCTTTTCGTTAGAATATTGTAATCAATCGATGATTTGATGATATAATAATGTAAAGGGCAAAAGAGCGAAATTTTATGTAGAGAAAAATAAAAACTGTATATTTTCTTACTTTTCATCCTCAAAACAAACCTGAATATTTGATAGTTACATAATATGGTCCAGGTGCTAATGCAATGTAACACACTTTGTAACCTTCTTCCACATGAAAAAAATAATGATAATTACTTGAAAAGAATGATGACTAAAAGTAATACTGACATGAAAACAGACTATAACTTATCCAATCTAATTCCATTATTTTTCTTATTGTCTAACATAGTCAAACCAGTTCCGAAGAACATTTTGAAATAACGTAGAAATTTTTTGTGTAAATTTTTTGAAGAACATCTCACGCATTTTAATAATGGCTGCGTGCTTTACAAAAACCTACACCAATAACTTTATCAAATTACCAGTAGCTTAAAAACAACGACTAACAGCGAAATGAGAACAAAATGAATGACTAACATCACATGCATTCAAGGTAACTTCTGATGGTCCATCAAATCGTATTTGGAGAAGTCCTATTCCGGCGTTGCAAGTATTGATTATAAATGATGAGAGCTCGCCAGTTTGTCCGCCACGAATACCGTCACCGACCACTGTTATTACTGATGGATCATTATCCCAACCTGTGCCAATGCGGAATCGGAAAGGTGAGTCATGCATAGGTGCATCATCAAGCGTTACATTGACATAATAGTCTCCAGTCTAGAAATTATTCATTAAAAGCAAGAATAGATAAATTTTAAAAAAAGGCTGAGTTCAAGCATAAAATAGCTTTTTTAGGATATGTAAAGAACGGAAATTCATAATCAGAATATTATACTGAATCAACAAAAAAAACCTCTATAGGAATGAATCTGACGCAGTACGAGTCATTTTCATCAACTGGGAGGATATCGACTATTTCAATCCTGTTGCTCGGCGTATGAAGTTTTGCTTCAAGATGACCTGTTGCGCCATGCGTATTTATTATAAAAGAACATATTTCACCTGGCGTTCCAGAATCTGCGAGTGATGTTAATTCCAGGCGGCGAGCTTCTCCAACTTCAGAAACAGCAACCACCTTAAAAAATTAAAATTTGGCATAAGACTATGAAGATAAAAAAACCACTCATGGTGGAGAACACTTACAAAGCTACTGCTCTCGGTAATCTAAAAGCATAAATAAAATAAAAATTAAGAACTTTGAATGGTGAGTCTGGTATATGTTCAGCATTGAATTTGACTGATATAAGATATTCTCCGGACTTTGTAATTTTATAGCCCAAATGACAGTTTCCATCCTGAAAAAAATAGTAATAAAAAATAAGAGCAATCAACTAAGAATTTCTGGCATTCAGCTTAGCAGAGTAATTTTAAGAATTTTAGATTTAGTAACAAAGAATCTAGAAACGACTTTACCTGCAAAGAATTTATTAATCTGATCGAAAAAAAAATATTTAATTCTAGTAATACATCTCATTTTTTTCACTAATAACAACGAGTTTTGCTGTAGTTTTACAGTTCGTTACAGTTCCACAACAAAATTTGACACAATCAGTGACAAAAAAGATACAACGTGTTCTTAGAGTCAAATTTTTCTTTTTAATTGGCGATAAATCGTCATGTAAAATAGATCAAAATATTTATGTTAGTCACATGCCTATCTTTTTTGAAAGAATGAAATTTGAAGCAATCACATCACCAAATTCCCCCCTTTGAGCAAAGAAATTTTCACCTCATGTTCATGGAATTGCAAGTCGGCCTTTGATGGTCCCTCTACAGTTACTTCAAGTTCTCCTCGTCCAGCCTCCCGAGTGTAAAGATTGAAAGACTGTTTCTTGTTAGTTTCTGCTCGATTCAATCCAACTCCTGCTGCTCGTACTTTATGTGCGCCCACTTCATTCAAATGTCCTACAGTGAACTGGAAAGGACTCCCTGCAAAAAAAAACATTGATTTTCTGAGTTATTTTAAATCTTCAATTTTCTAGACCTCGGTAAATGAATGCGTGCACGAATATGAAGCTTACCTGAAACATGCTGTCCTTTACAGAAAATAGAAATTGCATGCGGCCCATCTAATGCAGGGGTGAATTCAATGCCATAAAGGTGATCACCAAGATCACGAACTTCAATTTCTTTGCTGCATCCATTAGGATCAACGATTTTTGCTTTTGTGTCCATTGGTGATACATTTTCCAGTTGCAAATATATGGCAGTATCTTGTCCAGGTAAAACCACTGGTGCCTGAAGATTTCGTATTTTTCTATAAGATGAAGTAATAATAACAACCAATTCATGAAGACCAATTCCAACGTAGCTCATAACACCTGAGATATATGCAAGGTTCACATCCCATCAACATTTGAAAGATTCATAAAACATACTCACCTGTTTCATTTTCAAACTGGCGCTTTCTTTCATGATACCCAATCCCTCTCCGGTACAGTTAATTGTGAATGGGCTACCTACAAGTGCAAAACCTCAAAAAATTTTCTTAAATTGTGAATGGGCTATCTACAAGCGCAAAATCTCACAAAAAAATTTTCAAAAAAAAGATACAAATATTATGAATATTATGAATGAAAATAACAAGATTATACTAACCGTTTACATGCGCACCAGCAAATTTCACCGACAAAATGTAAATTCCAGGTTCGGTTGGTCTATAAACAATATTAGCTAGACCTCCTTTATTTTCATTACATCTCAATTCTGCTTCTGACGGTCCCTGAATTGATACTGACAAATCACCAGAACCTGAAAAACCAAAAAAAATGATATTAAAAAAAATATTTACCCTGATGAGTTTTAAAGGGAGAGAAATATCTTCAGTAACAAAAAAAATATTGTTACATCAATTAAGACAGAATGAACTTGTAACGGATAACTACTTTAACACAAATTTAACACGAAAAGCGTTTTCAAATAACGTAAATATTACCAGCATTACGCGTGTCAATTTCAAAAATATTGTCTTGCTGACATAAAGCATTTGCTTTACCTTCTCCACTAACAGCAACTTTGGACGCATCTTTAGCCTAAAAAATAGATAAATATATAAATTTTCTTTCCCTTACAGTATGTATTCAGATAAATGACCAAAAGTTAAACACTCACTTGATTTTTAATGTCTTCAACTCGGAAGCTTGATTTTTGTATAATCTGCTCATTCTTTTTAACAGTGACTGAATGTTCACCCATTTCATGTGGTAAGAATGAGATGCCTAAAAATAGTTACAATGTATGACTGATTCACCATACCAAGAAAGTCTGTTCAATCACCACACCAAGGAAGTCTGTTCAATCACATCATACATCCAGTGAGGATCATCATCATTTATCTGCAGAAAAAAGGCTTGTAACTTCAAAAACAAACTAACAGTTCCATTGACTTGCTAATTATGTCATTATAAAACAGGCTATATTGCAAGTTAATTTCTTAAATTGCCTGAAACATCCATCAGTAGGCACTCATATAGCAATTTTAGCAAAAACTCTATCCGATACTTTTCATCCTCGAAATTATGAAGCAAATTGAGCAAACTGTAAGAGCCGAGCTACACTCAGTCAAGTCAAACTGCATTTTGGATGGTTTTCATTTATATAATATATATATAACGAAGGACAGTTAGAAATAGGCAGGCTTCCTCACTCCTCCCGCTTTAAATCCAGATTCAAAATTCAACTGTTCAAACCTAACTAGACCTCAAAAAATAAAAGACAAAATGAATTTGAACCCATCGAAAAAGAGTAAATGAAAAGAAGTAATTTTGACGTATAGAATTGATCGAAGCAGGGGGTGCTTAACTGTATTGGCAAAACTGATATTTTCCAAAATGTTTAAGATTACGGAAGCCATTGAACAGTCAAATGGCAGAGATGTAGGATTCCTTTAATATAAGAATATATAATTGGTAAGTTTTAATGTTTTAGAATTTTCCAAGCAAGCATAAAGAGAAAGAAATCTGCTCAAAAAGACTATTAAAAAAAAACAAACTGATTATAACCAGAAAAACGACTATAAAAAACATAGGCTGAAAAATCAAGGATCAGTATTGTACGAATACATTTAACGCCAGCACCTCCTACATGAAATATTTTAATTTTTATACTTTTCAGAATAATGAGCCACAAATTAATCATCCAGATATAAATTTATGCGTCAATTGTTCTGCAGTAGTCCTAAAAACCCCTCTATACTGATATTCTTATAATTGGTAACCACTAACTCAATGGATGGATAAGAAGTTCTGGAAGTCGATTTTCAATGAAAAAATCATGAGCACTGTGTTGAAAATATTTTCCAAAAGTTCGTCGAAACCCAAAGCACGATTTTCTACGTCACAGAAATAAACAAACATATTTCCCGTTGAAGTAATAGTTGTGCTAAGTAATAGCTCTTACTTTAAATAATTGATAAACGTGTAAAAATGTTTAGACCTCATAATAATACTTTGAAATTACGGTCGACAATACAATTTCTTTCATAGCAATCTAACATTAAGTAATTTAAATGAGAAGACTTAAATTATAATAATAAATAAATCATCTGAAGGGTGATTCTGGCTTGTTTGGCCGGAAGTTTTTGAAATAGCAAAACTCAGTCATAACTTTGTGATCATATGGTAAAGGTTTTCTGAAGTTTTAGAGTCAACGAGAATTATTCCTTGCACAAATTACTAAGACTTCGTCTGATGACTACGACATTGTAAGCAGTCTTCGCAAAAAAAACCAAAGGAGACGACTTCATCTACTTTCGTCGTCCAAACTTTCGTCATCAAGAAGCGTTAAGAAAGAGAAAGTTATCAGAGTACCGATGTGAGCAGGATCAATCTGACGAATAATGCATGGTTCTGCAATCCCATTTGGACTTCTAACTGATGCTACTAAGTCTTCAATTCCTGTATTGTTGATATTAATTGTGATCTACAAATTTGAAAAGATGAATAGCATCGAACAACAACAGAATGCAACTAAAAAATATGGCTGGATACAACATTCCACAATTAATAAATATTGTGATGCTTTGCATATTCAAACTTTTTCAGAACAAGCTGGAAGTATAAAAATGATTGGTTTATGAATATACACGGTGCTTAGCTCAACTGAAAGAAGCTGAATCTGGTTAGAAAATTTTTGCAACATACAACAAAAAAATGAAAATTGAAACAAGTTATCTGGAACCTCCGATAATGCTGTCGATTTAAGAGACAAATGCGCTCGCTTTTGACCTTTATCTGACACAAATACAACGAAGGGGGAATTCCTCACTGGTTTTCCAGAAAGCTTGACGTGAACTTTGTATTTCCCAGGCACAGGAGGTGTCCATACTACGGAGCATGTGCCATCCTGTAAGAAATTATCAACGCACAGAAATAACTGGGAGAGAAACTTTCACATGCAAAGCCAGTTAATCACCTTGTTGTCATGGCATTTGATCGTAGCTTTTGCTGCGCCTTCAATAGCGACAGATAAATTTTTGGTGGGCGAACCTTTCGCGCAAACTGTAAATGCTGCTGGTTCACCGACGACCGCTTGCAACAAGCCAGGACCATATACTGTCGCATATTCTTCATGTGCTTCATTCACATAAAATGAAATTGGACTTCCGGACATATTAATGCCATCATGTTGTATGAACAACTGATGACTGCCACATTCTTTTGGGTGATACGTCACCGTCACACTTCCGTCCCCATTATACTGTAAAAAACATCGACACGAATTATTTCCATTATTAATGAATACCTTAGTAGCAAAAACTTTCTAATTCAGATACTGATAATTAACACTATTGCTACTACTTCTTCCTAAAATTTTTTTTATACTTTTTTATTATAAAATTAAAAAAAATCGCATTGCAAAATCGCAAAAACTGCTTCTTTAAAAATGAACAGTTTCTCATAATTCAAACAACTGGTTTAAGCGTTTTAACTGAATCTACATGCGAAAATTTGTAACTCACATTCATGTATGCAGTATCGTCTGTGCCAGATGGCATTTTGACGGAAGCAGTAAGTTTGTTGAACTGATACTCTGTAGCAACAGCAAAACGAAAACTGTGAGGTATCAAATGTTCATCATCTCTAGACTCCGCTGTTCCAGGAACATTTTCATCCAAAGAAGATGAAACACACTGAAAATGCCTTGAAATTTTTCTTAGAAAATTGTCAGAACATTAAATTGATGGCCAATTTCTAAAAGTTTGACTATCATTTGCGTTTTCACTGTTCCTTTTAGCAAAAACCTAATTTTTTCCTAGGTATATTTTTGAATTTGAATATCAATAAACAACGTTAAATAAACATCATAATAAAATAATCAATAATCAAAACAATCAGCAATAAAGAACATTAAATAAATATCATGATAAACACCAATTTTAGAGGATATCAAGAAAATAAACATTGATTTTAAAATGGAAACCTCGAAATCGAATGTTCCATCAGGTATATCAACACCTCCATACATTAACGCAACCCGATGCTGCCCTTCAACATGTGGCGTAAGTGTTACGATGTAAAAGCCATCCTCTTTCTTCTCAATTTTTGTTTCCAAGTCAACGTTATCAGTAAGCACATTTAATGCTCCTTCTCCTCCATCCTTAGTGCTCACCACAAAAACTTTTGGTTCTCCAGCAGTCCAAAACTTATCAAGTGATTTTGCTGAAACAACACATAATGCAACAAACAATTAAATGCAACTGAAACTGTAGCAACATTAACATAGTTAAACACAAAACTCTTTAAATGACAAAAAGTAAGCACCACTCACACTGTCTTAAGTTTACACTGTATCCATTCAAAAAAAAAAATTATAATACAACCTTTCAAATATGATAGATATATATATATATCAATATCAATCATAGCAAATATGTTGTACAAGGCTTCATAGCTTTTCCGAAACGAATTGAAATACATGTTTGTATAACAATAAACAGTAGATGAATACTATTTTGGATTTAAATTTGCAAATTTTATGCACACTGCAGAGTTTTGTTAGAAATCTCACATTCCACGAAGCATTTATTTGCCGAGCCCACGGGTACAGCAGTTAGCCTATACGGGTCTGAAAACGGTTTCCCATTGACGTATATTACGACAACATACATTCCTGCCAAGTCTGGTACGAAATCCAATAAATACATTCCCTTGTTGCAGTCTTCGGTAAGCGCTGATTTCCGCAACTTGCCATCTGGACCCTATAAAATTCAGAACTGAGAAATCAAAATCATTTTTCTATGAACTTTCCCTATCAAATCCTGCACAAAGTTGCAGTAGTCGAACAGTTCCAATGCATGGATTGATTTGATGAGTACAATGTCGAAAAATAACGAAAAAAGCACGGAGGACCATTGACAGCTTATTTTGTAAACCATTCCAACGGGATAGTTTAGCAGGTAATAAAAAATTCATTTAAAAGACTCGTCCAGACAGACAGCTGCATAAAAACATAAACTTCGAATGGCTGCACAGCATTACTTAAACTATCAGCAATTCCTTAATTCAGTTACGATTCATAGCATCATTAGGAATTAACAACCTCGAGACTAACTATTGCTGAAACGTCACTGTTAATTATAAAAATGCCTCACTTTTATTTCCGCAACTAATTCATCAATTTTTCCGACTGCCGTAACGTCGATCAGGGCTTCAAATTGAACAGAGGCTTGCATTACTGACGGCAGGAAACCACCAGAACGATTTTTCAATACTACACACCCCTCTTCGGCTTCGACGACGAAAATAAGTGGTCTGGAAAAAATTTTGCAAGAAAATTAAGCAAAGAAAAAATTGTAACTGCAACATATACAAAACAGAAGCTTGGCCAATATTAAAACTTCTGTAACTTGAGTAGTTAAAACATTTCAAAACAAATATGAAAGACAGAAAATGTTACTTTCCAATAAGTTCGCCTCCATACAGAAGTTCCAATGCTATTGTTCCGTTTGTCGTAGCGCTTGGGATGAAAGTAACTCGATATACTCGAGGTCTGATTTCTTCAACAGTCGGCTGTTCGAAATCAGCAGGAAGACGCGCGCTTACTGGCTCTAATGCAGTGAGCGTAGCATCAACAGTAAGCGAAGTTGGTACTCCAACACGAGCAAGTCCATTACTACTTTCGGTTATTACAATTTTCGATGGGTCACGCTCGTAATCGGTTAGCAACATGAATGGAGAACCTTATAAAAAAATTGGTGATTCCAGTGGACCGAAAAGTGTTCTGCAGCTTATAAACAATGAAAGGAAAGATAATGCGACGCGAATTACAGAAACAAGGTCAACCTGGGATTTGTTTCTTTCTCTCTCCATAATAAATCATTATTTCGTACAGTCCAGGAGTCTCCGTAGTGTACTCTACTGTGCAAAGACCGTTATTATTATCCACCACATTTGTTTTCACTTTTGAAGGTCCTTTGATCGATACTTCCGTTTTGCCCTTCCCGCCATCCTTAAATCAAAATTATGGGAAGGATTTATATTGTTATCTCCATGAATAAACGCATTAGGACGAATTTTTTGATCACATCATATTCTAAGTTGTTTCTTTGTGGTGTCCATTTTAAAAAATAGATTTTATGAGACGCAGCTATCGTTATCACTATTTAGCAAGGGCAACGTCATAATTACTTATCACTTTGGTGACTGTGTTGCCACCTGAGTCCCATTTCAGGTTCGAACTGCAAATAATCAGCAAAAATCGCATTCTGTACTACCTTCACGTCAACCAGAAATTTCGCTGGCATACCAACAACAGCATGCTGAAGTCCTTCACCAATCGCTCGGCATTTATTTGCGTCCTCGTCATATCGAACAATAACTATATATTCCCGAACTAAGTTTTCGTCGAAAAAAACACATATTTTCGTTTTTCCTAATTTTTCTGCTGTCCAGAAACCTAAAGAAAATAGTACCAGTAATTAAGACAAATTGGGTGTAGAATTAAGTCAAAAGATTTTGCGCAAAATGTTACCTCTATAAATGTTTGAATTACGCTCATGTTCAAGAGATATCAAATATTTTGACCCATCAACTTTTCCAATTTCCTCCACAGTAACTTCCACGCCATTTTTCACAGGTTTCAAGTTTCCAATATCAATAGCAATATCTTTTCTCTGCCCAACTGCTACGGTTTCTGAGGAATCAAACACAACACAATTATTTTTCAAGATTAATAAACGATGAAGTTAATCTAAAGTGAGGTGTATTAGAGTGAGAAAATAACTGAAATCACTGAATACCCATCGTATCCCAGTGATTGCTAACCATTTTTGAGACCATCCACCAAAATCGAAGAGGTATCCATTCCTTCAACTGCCATAATTTTGGTTGTTGTCAACTTAGCTAAGTCACCAGACGCATTATCACGAACTGTCGCCATAATCTGCAACAACCAACTTATAGTTTAAATGCATCAGGATAACATGACGAACGCCACATTTTCTATATAAATTAAACGAATATTAAGACAATCACCTTATGTTCGCCTGGAGTTTCTGGTTGATATTTGAATTCATAAACAGTATCTGAAAGCCGACATTGGGTATAATGAACTAAAGATTCATTCGGTCCATTGATGAAGACTTCCGGAACTACCATCGCATCGCGTGTTTGAAGTGTAAATCCCGTAGTGACTCCAACTACTGGCATCAACACAACATCACAAAGTCGACCAAGTGATGGAATATACTTTGCACCAGGAAATTGTAAAAGATAAGTCATAACGCTTTTTTCATCAACGTCCGGACTGATCAATTCCTCAGGTTCAATAAGCTGAAAAAGTGAAAAACTCTGCTTGGTAAAATACATTAAAATCAGTACATTAGCATGTAAACTAGAGGATTTTTATGAATTTCTTCTCTAAAAAAGACCAATCTATATAATTCAAGACGTACTGCAGTCACACCGAGATAATCACTAGCAAGTCGCATTGCAGTAAAAGTTGATTGTAAAGCTTCTGATGGTGACCATTTTCGCCAACCAACTTCCAAATCTGGAGCGCAAGAATCGACCTGAAAGAAACTTCCCACATTAAATAAATAAAACGGAAAATGAATTGTTTCATTCTAAGTCATTATAAGATATACCAAAGCACCAAGAAGAATTCCATCATTCCAATCGAAGGTAAAATTGGTAACGGAAAGTTCGGTTGGTAACTTAGCTCTTATCCAAGTCAGGAGCTTTTCTTTAGCTGATACTTCATTACTTCCTAATTCACCACTTGGATGATCCCAAACTTGTTTCGGGATGGAGTAATGTAAAATAAGTGTCCACACGAGACCCAAAATTAACTTCAGATTGTGGTTCGCTATTGCTGAACTGTCTAAAAGTGAGAATATCATGAGGCGTGCGAATAAGCTGAATTCTCTTACTCTTTTTTTGAAATGATTGAGAAATATGTTCATCCGTAAAACATTTCGGTTCAAAATGAGAATAAAACAAGGACGCACCAATATTAATGAGCTTTATATGTTCTTCATTTTCCAAAAATTGCAGCGCAAGAGAAATATTTTCAAGTTTTTGATGGCGAAATATGACTTTTTTATTATGACGACCAAATGACTTTCCAGAAAGTACTTCAACCAAACGAATTAATTTCAGGCCTTCTTCAAAATCGGTTTTCTGAAGGAATTTATATAGTAAAAACTACGAAAAATAGGGCGAGAACATAAAATATGTGATGAAATGCTGTGAAAAAATCTATATATTCTAAAACATACCAAATCAGACACAGTTACGTTCACCTGTTCCAACTTCTGCTTAACCCAACGAGTGAAAGTATTCAGTTGAATTCTCTTCCATTTTGCGTCATGTTGCTGTTCGACCATAGCTATCTGCAATGATGCGCAGCTTCACATATATAATTTTGAAGCTTTAGCGATGGCTACGAAAGAGTCCTTTTCAATCTAAAACTTCTGAAAGCACAACTCCCAAAACGATTTTATTTCGTAACTTGTTAAATCCGCAAAAACTTTAAAATAATCATTATTAAAAGAGTTTGCCAAACATAAAAACTCAAGCAAATATTAGCACCGGTACGTAAAAAATTTTTTTCTATTCTAATCGTATTCAATAACCATTGATAAGACCGTTACTGTTGATATAATTGTCGTTATGATCTATGTATAATATTTGCTTCTAAGAAATTAAATTAACACAATAATTAATGGAAGAATACAACAGAATAGGATGATGGAAAAGCTTAACTGAAAAGAATGGCTAGAGTGACTTCATGCAGATTACTACCATCCTCCGTAATGCTTTAATAATTGCACGCTTAGTACATCCCCGCCATCCCATTAATGTTGTAGCAGTATCAACAGAGCAAATAATACTCTTCAGCATTCTCCGATATCCCAAATAATACAACAAGATCAATATGACGAGCATTCTGTCATATCTGTACATCCGACGTGCTAATGCTCACAATACGTGCATATCCTAAAGGTAGCTTATGAAGTAAATGGTAAAATTATCCTTACTGAGAATGGATATTTCTCTGCACTGTTGGAATGGACTTTACGGTTCGCACGTACATTCCATCCATTATCATTGCTTATTTTGCTACACTTTCAAGCTTTGTACGTAAATTTGCGCTATGAGGACGGAGAAATCGTCGATTTAAATTGAAATGGAATGAAATATGAATGCTGAATGAATTAACGAGTAATGCTGGCCTAATTCTCCCTGAACTTCCTTCTATTACTCATCTAGAAAAACTCGGCTTAATCTTGTTGGCCTTTCCGTTTGCTCCCAAGTAAGTTCATTCCGCTTATTGTCGTCTCAAATTAAATTGGTAGCTGTTTGTAGAAACATCCTCATCTTACATACTGTCTCAAAAATTTTAATATTTTTGTTTTGAAAGAGATCTCACCTGATGTATGTTCGGTCAGGATAGATCTCTTAAAGCAGCGGCTAATTCGTGTTCGTGTTAGTGTTTGTGACAGCTTCTGTTACATTTTTAAATGGTCCAAGTCTAGAGAAATTTTGAATGTTTGGGTTAAATGGTTTTGGGATATTACGTAGAGTTCGGAACTTATCAATCTACATGATTTTTATACATTCTATGAATGTTTCAAATTTGACAAAACTAATATCTAAGCAGTATATTAGCTTTTGGCTATAGTATCTCAAATATTCTTCTTCCTTCCTCTTGCTAAATATTTTTCCTATAATCTAATATATTCGATTAGATTATAAAAAAGCTACGAATATGAAAAAAATAGGCAGAAACCCATTTATGAAGTTCGAAACTTACAAAAAAAGATTTATCAGATTTATATTACGTAGCAAAATCTTTTTCTTCGTACGAAACTTTTATAAATTCTTGGAGTCGTGTGACACTATCAATTGCGCTGAAGAAAAGAGTCCTTGATGTTTTTTATCGAGATATTCCAGGTTACTGTAGCTTGTGAAGCTTACAACTTCGTTTTCCCCATATTGCTTCACGTTTTATTTCAAATATCGATCAGTTTTCATTCAACTTGAAACTGCACTGTTCATGAAAGTTTCCATCACATGACTTAAAAATTAATGGAAGTCTGTTCCTAACAAATACAATACTCCAGCAATAGAATAGCATTAGAAAAAGAACAGAAGTCTGAAAGAAATGATTAAAATGTTTTTTTTTGCAGGTCTATAGTTGCAGTAAAAAGGTACTGTTTAAAACAGTCATGTGGATGAAATTGGGAATTTCAGTGTTTTTGTCAAGCATTTTTTATCAGGAAAAACTGAATATGGAACATCAATCAAAAATAGCGCACTTGACCATTTGCGTGGAACAGGGTGTTAAAATCGACATACAATTTAAAGTGTTCGAATAGAATTTATAATACTTCATTTCCTGCTGTAACTCTTATTATCGAACCTTTCTGTAATAATTTTTCAGAAATTTTTGAAGTAGTTGAGTTGGCTTTTTTAATATCCTGAATTTCGCACGAGTATCAACTAATTTAGGGAATTAACACTTGTAAATTCACGAATGTTGCTACGTGTTTACAAATGAAAATTTTAAAGATAGGAACATGATTTCGATTTACCCAGTAAATGAGGAATGATTTTTTAGCTGATTTCTTAACGGAACATATTCATTGAAAATTTCGATTTTGGTTCGTATTATATAAGTCATAATTAATAGGAGAAATGACCGATTAAGGTAATATTATTCTTTTCTTCTTCGGCATATTTCTACGCATAATTTTCATCCGCAATGTTTCGAATATTAAGGGAATTGAAACATTGAGAACGCAAAATAATGCGTAAAAATACACAAAATCAATGATGAGAATACAGTAAAGCAGAAGCCAACAAGTTCAATTTATCTATGAAGTAGTGATATCATGTTGAAGCATTCACTCTTCGGGTACTTTATAAAAAATTGGATTTGGATGTTCTGCTTCTAAAATTGTCTTGAAACACAGTGCAAGTGGACAAAGATACAAAGCATTGAAGTATGCAAAAATCACAATAAGAATACTAACCTCCGTGATTCCTGAAAATGACTTAGTAATATCCTTCTCATCAATTACAAGTGAGAGAACATGTCGAAACAATTCAATTTATAAATTATCTTCAGCAAGTATAGGTTTTCCTTGCTTAAATTAACAGTTGGTTGAAGCTCTTTTAATCCCATCCACTGCGTTGTAACTATAGCAGAAAGGTCCCAGAGTCAACACTTTTTTATTTTAACAATCCTCTTCTATTAGAGAATCTTCAAACTATCAAAAGTTTGATTTTATAAAATCTCCTTTTCAGAATCTTAGGTAAAGACTGTTGAAGCTCAATTGAGAACTAAAGGCTGATAGCAAGGAACTAAATATACTACAAAGAAGTACAAAGTATACAGGTACTTGATTTATATTTTATTAAAAGATAACCCCTATCAATGTTCATAAAGTAACACAATGCATATGAACAATAACAATATTTAGGAAAAGTTCCATGGAGCTCATGGTTTACGAATGATTCTCAAGTGTATTGTATTAAAAAATTAATTCTGCTTCTTCCGTGAAATTCGGTTTAATTATTAAAAGTGTGTTGTAGATATCATTCACAACACTATTGTTAGTGTCAGTTTATCTGCTACCTTTTTTGAACTAAAAACAATCTTTTCTAACACAAAAATATGCAGACGAGATGCAGTGCTGGCTTATCTATTCTGGGATGAAGCTTGCATTAGTGGACCTTAGTACACATACATATTTTTTTCTTGTTGCAAATAATGAAGATACATGAAAAGCAATGAACATTGCGATGAATATGAAAATGCGTGAAAAGTGATGAATAAAGCATCTTTAAGAGATCACTTGTAAAAAAGCAGCTGTGAGAAATTAACAAAGAGTAGCAAATAGTAAATGGAAACAAATAATGCAATAGTGCACTTTTAATATGAAAAAAATCCCATTGTTAATTCTCCACATAAAAAATCGAGAATCGAAACAGTGGCTGCACAATTATCATCGTTTGAACTCCACTTGTCATGCCAATAAATCCATAAGCTGAGGAATGCAAAATGCAAATGAATAGACATACAATTAAAATGACATATCAATGTTAACAATCAAACTCAAAAATTCCTGGGGGAGAATTAGAGTTTTCTTTCTATCATGAACGCTTGGATTTAAAAATTTAGGATTTATACAACAAGCATTACCATGATAACTAAATAAAAATAATGTATCAATATAATTACAGGTTCGTAAATTAAAAATTAAAAAATCAAGGCTATAAGTGAATAGGCACGAAATGCAAAGGTTCAGTTATGATTATAAATGATTTTGGATTTGCCGAATATTCTCTTCAAATGCTCTCAAAGGCATAGATGATGGGGGTTCGATCCTTCGATAATTTTGCTAGAAAAATTCATTCATGATGTTCAGGTAATGAAAACCTAAATTTGCACAACTTATTCTGATAACAATAATCTCAAGGGTCGCTCTGTGGCAGCTGTACCTGACTTCTTGCTCCTTTTTTGCCAAAACAATAGACTTGTAACATTATTGATAAATCGATTATAATCTGAAAGTTGTAAAACTACAGAACTTTTTAAACTATCAGTAAAAATCAAAATTAAAATATGAAATAAAGTCATTCTAAAAATACCTTCGCTTCGTAAATTCCGTCGAAAATGAAGCATGATTGTAAGTCCTAAGTCTCATTCACGTTCCCAAATACTGTGGCACCAGTGTGGCTCTAGACGGGAGAACAAAGATGCTAAGCATACCGAATTCATGTTTAAATTCTCAAAATTTGACAGATAAATCTTGCAATTCAAGTCTTCAAAACAAGCGAAAGGAATTTAAACTAACTTGTATTATTCCACATAACCAAAATTGAGCTGGACTATTTTCATAGATAAAATAAGCTGTTTTACCACAATCTCCAACCGCCCACACAAGTAACATGCCAATACTAAATACCTTGAATATATTAAAGAAATTCCAACAAAAATTTCTTTCTCACATCGCAATTTAAAAGAAAACGCCTTTTATTTAATTGTAAATTTCTCATATGATAACTTCTCAAGAATTTTGTGAGCCTGTTCCTGTTAGACAGATCGTGTATACAGAAACAATTTTTAGCTGAACCTCATCCCCGATGTAGAACGCCTTGAGCAATTCTGTTTTAGTTGAGGGAAACCCAGACATGCTTCGAAAAGTAAAGCAGTAAGACCAAGAGCTTCCACATATATTATATACTGAAAAAATGCACGAGAGATAGAAATTTTGGCAAATAAAAGCGAGACAGAACAGCAGTCCTGTTTTCTGAAAAATGTTCATCTTTCGGTTCTCCGTTTGTTGATAAGAAGTATTAAAAGTACCCCGCTCAATAAATAAGTAAGTATAGACGAAAATATAATGAAAGCAATTATTAGAATGAAATAACTTGAGAGATCATTCCATTGCCAAAAATGACTTATCAGTTGACCAGCTGAAAAAAAGGAATTTGCTTTTTTTTAATTTTTTTAATTGAAAGAATGCGGTCTTTTAAAAAAAGAAGCATTAAAAAAATTGATCAGACTAACAAAACATGATGATAAAATAAATTGGGGAAGACTATTCTTTAAACCGTAAGTCAAATAAAACCTAAATTCTATTCCATGTGCTAATATTGATTAATGGATGATTAACTCAAGATCCGAAGATTTATTTTTTCCATTTCACTGCATGTACATTACAAAATACTAAAAGTTTTTTGCACATAAATGGATCAGTAAAGAGACGGTGTTCAAGACCAATGTTGATATTAAGTGAGGAAGCCAGTTATGTTGTTAATTCGATAAAAATTAAAGCAAATTCCAAGATACAAATCAATTAAGGAAGCATAATTATTTTATCATGTCAATAGAATTTATAAAAATACTCCAAACGGAGGCACGCTGCGCTTTATATACATGTTTTCGATTTGTTCGCACTGATATTTCCAACATTAATATCATTGATATCAGCATTACTACGCTTTGAGTAACAAGTGCCAATTCAAATCGCTTGCCAAACCTAGAAAAGAAAACAAGAAATAGCAAGCCTGCGCGTTCAATGATCTGTCAAAGACAAAGAGACGCCTGCAGCACATCAAATAGAGTTGATTCCTGATGAATACATAATAAAATCATGAATAATACCGATTTCAGTTTGTGATTGCCAAAAATTGAATTATTCCTTTCGTGATCAGTTAAAGCTGTTGAATGATTACGATAATTCGAAAGATATAATTAACTGATTTGAAGCATAAAAAAACCCTATTTTTACTAACCAAAACATAATTCGAAGTATATTCGCTATTAGCAGTGTCAAGCAGACAAACAATGAAAATCCACTAGCATCTTCTCGTTCATAAATTTTTTTGTACTGGAATACATATGCCAGTGAACCGCCAAATATTATGAAACCCTTACTGATGACGGTTAGAGATATAACAAACATTTTTTCCAATGGGATAAGATCCATCCCCGACCTGAATAATTTGAACGACTAATAGTTTGAATGATATTGCAATATGAGAAAATAATGAATAATTATTTTTCTTTAAATAAAGAAGAGCAAAATGCGCCTTTGAATAAAGTGCCGAAGTAACTGTAAAAAAAAGTTAAAACAAGTTTTGGAAAATGCACTATATATATATAAGAAGAGCTCGGATCATTTGAATTGATAAAAGAGGAAATAGATGAGAAAATAGATAAATAAATAAATAGGTAAATGATATGGATGAGTATTTGAATCTAAATTACAGAGAAAGAATAGACGAAGCAATCCAGAATCAGCCCAAGATGGTACAGATGAATTTAATAATTGAATTTTCTATCACTTCTATTCATATTTTCCTGAAATTTCATTCTCTTTCTGAACATTCAAAAAAAATGAGAAAATTTGTGCTATGAAATACATAATTGCTAAGACAATAACTTTCATCAAAATAATAGTAATGATAAATGATAGGAACATACTCTCTTTTTTTTCTTTTCTACAGTCAATTTTTGATGTATTTACCGAGCGCTAGAAAATACTGTTGTTGGAAATAGTTGTATTGTTTCTAAACTGACAATATATATATAAAAAAGTAATCGATAATGAAAAAACTGCTCTAATCCGAATCCTTCTGATATTATCTTGATGTGTTATAGGTGACCAAATACGAGATCATCACGAATATTCAGTAAATATTTCTTATTGCTGATATATAATTTTGCAATGAGTGATTCATTTCAAATAATAATAAAATAAAATAAAGGAAAAAACGCAAAAAACAAACTTTTCAATGACGAACATTTCCTGATTGTCCAGCGAACAAACTATTGCAGCTATAGTTGACGCTTAACTGCTTCCTATATAGATGACAAAATTACTATTTTTGAAGTTTCAAAACTCTTCAATGCAGACCGACTCACAGTACTAAAAAAATAGTCTTTGGTACTTGCGCCAAATGTTCCACAATTTGAAATTTCTATCACTTCAATTCATATTTTCTTGAAATTCCATTCTCTTTCTAAACATCAAAAAATGAGAAAATTTGTGCTATGAAATACATATCTGCTAGAGCAATAACTTTCATCAAAATAATAGTGATAAATGATAGGAATCGATCGATCGATCCCTTCGTTAATTATATCCTCAGAACATGTCTGAGAATTTTTATTCTCATTATTATTTTCTTTTTTTTCTTTGCTACAGTCTATTTTTAATGTGTTTCCGAGCGCTAGAAAATACTGTTGCTGGAAATAGTTGTATTGTTTATATGTAACAGATAAGAATGTGCTATCGATCAAATTTTGAATGGAATTGAGGAAACTTGAGATAAGCGAAGAAGTTAAAAAATACTGTAGTTGTAAATAAAACATATCAAAACAATCAACAATTCAGAGATGATTGAATTCATCTCATACTTTTCACTTTCGTTCATTGTTCTCTTTTATAGCTCTATTTCCTAATATATTAATCATAAAACTAAAAGAGCCAAGATAATCATTTCCTGATTGGCTGGCTATAAAAGAATATTGTCTCTCAATTGATGATATAACAGGAATTAATGATGCTCCGAATTTTTTTGGGATATGTTACTTTCAAAAACGTTAAATGTGTTCTATATAATAAGACAAAGGTTTAAAAATAAAACTCTATCCGTATAAATTGAAAAAAAAGTGATTTAAATGAAATACATTTGAAAATTGAAAAACCATTCTTTCTCCCACTTAACTATGAACAGGAAAGAGAAAATCTTTTTTAGAGAAGCATATAATCAAACTAAATTTTCTATTCAACCACAAATAGTTCCTATCAGTTTTCATCTATACAGTCGACACATAATTAACAAGTCTTTTGAACGACGTATCTTGGAGATATTAATCAATTTAATGAGTAATTTTTTCTACGTCACCTATAACTGCATCACTTTCTTTTTCAAATCCTATCTACTCCTCAGATGGATATCTTCCAAAGCAATGTCCCTTGTAAGCAGTAAGCATCAGTTGTATAATAATAAGCTGTGAAAGATTTTGAGTAAATAAGAATATACACCTTCAAGTTTGATTAAAGGTAACTCTAAGAATATTTTGATTAATAGAAAAACATTGAATTTAGAGATCAAATAGTGAAATTTCACTCCCGATTTTAGCTTTTTGAAAGCTTTGTAAGCAATAATTTTGATATTCAATATTTTTCCTTAACTTCTTCACATGAACAACTTGATATTCAGCTGCTTTTCATTTGTTATGCATATTTCTAAATCATTATTGTCTGCTTAATAAAAGAAACAACAAACATTAACTTTGTGAAATAAAAAAATCAGATGAGAAAGTAAAAATAATATTTCTGACGGATAAATCTGCTGGAGATTAAGGTGACCATATGAAAATTGTTCATATAATAACAATACTATTATGCAATCATCCATATCTGCATTGTTTACATAAACTAATCACCGGAGCGTTATTTCACCAGTTCATTTTTAAGGAAATAACTATATGATATCAAAGCTCACAATAATTTCTTATTAGATGATTGAAATTCATTACAAATTTAATAGCAGATTCATGTTTATGAAAATGACTCCATTATTACTACACCAATTAATGTACAATATTCAAGTTAAATATATCGTATACATAAGGGTGTAATTACTTAATGTTAATTACTCATTGCTTTTTCTATCGGTAATTATTTAAAAGGAAGAGGAAGATCTGGAAAAGTAGATATTATGTTACTGACGAATTATACTTCTTGTTAGGTAATTTCCATGATATTCTCTCATTAGTAAACACTTTACGATTAACAGAACATCTAATCGCGCAGCTCACAGCAGCTTTTGATGATGGTGTGAACTTAAGACATATTAGTTATAAAGTTACATTATAAAGTTACATTGTAAAGTACATTGTAAAGTTTACTAATGAAAGAATATCATTAACATCAATACCGCCTGAGAACTGGGAACCGAAGACTCACATCATCGATAAAATGAGAAGCAAAGAATAATCGATAGATAAAAGCGCAATAATTTTGCCATATAGGTTCTTCAACACTTAATATCGCACTATCCGTCAACACCCTTTTTCCACAATCTCAATGTTACTTATCTTCTTTGGAAGTGCTTTTTGAATTTTGAATGTTAAACTTATATAACGAATAAGCTTACATTTAAAAAATTCTACTATTTTTGTTTCCTGTTCATTATCACAAAACTGTTAGAACCATTAATAACTTTAGCCCATGACTCGACCGTATACAAAATGTGCATATTGTACGCATATATCAATTCCCTACTTGGAGAGAAGAGAAGCTTTCGCACCAAAAAATGTTAGTAATCAAAACTCGAGGAATTGCTAACGATGTAATCGATAGAAAACTATAAGAAAACTTTAAAATTTTCAGAAAGAGAAGTACAACAAATTATGCAATTGAGGCAACAGAATGCCATCAAGAAATGCACTTTTGTTAATAGCATCATGAAGAGATAAACGCTTTATTTCACTTCTTCTGAGACACCAAAACACATTCATACCTTGTGGGTGGACAAGAAGCTATATTAATGCAACAAAGATATCAACGAATCATTGCCAATATATATATATATATATATATATGTTAGAAATGATGTATGCCACAAAGAAATACGGCTTTTGAGTGTTTAATTTTTCAGATAATAAAATTCTTATCAGATTTTCTTTAAATTTCAAAAAGTTGATCTGGACAAGTTCCATCAGTTTTATCTAAAATCGACTTGCTACCACACAAACAAGAAACTTATGTCAAAAGCGACTTATCGAATATAATTTTAACTATATATATATAAATATATATATAAAGAACAGGTATAAATTCATGAAATTTTGGGAATAAGAACAGTCTTGATATACTTTTCAACTGATCACAGAAAGTGACTGGAAACTCATTCCCTAATAAAATAGCATCATGGATTAAAAAGTGATATCAAAACAAAAATGAGAAATTTATGTTCAAAATGAAAACAAACAAAAAAACCATTATCAACAAAACAGAAACGATTTGATCGATTTAGTCGAAATCGAAAAATTCAAAAATTCGAATTCTGAAACGACCGAACTCATGACCAAAATGTAAATACAAAGTAAGACAGAAGAATAAATTCCAGCGTTAAAACTGAATAATAAAAAGAAAGAAAATATTATATTTGCCTAAATTCCAAGGCAATAAATTATAGACCCATACGACCAAATCAATTCAGGAAAATTTAACAGCCAAATTGTTTGTAAGAGTAGATAGTAACAATAAGTTAAAACAAAACTTTAAAATTCATAACTTCAAATTAGTGAAATATATGTAATCATGGTGACACCTGCACTCGATGTGGCGGCCTCACAATCAATTTTCCACTCTGAAAAAATTGATTCCTATAAACTTTAAAAAAACTAGAGTTAGCGAACCATACATATAAAAATAACAGTGAAGAATCTGCTACGCAAAAATTCCTTTACTTTGTATTCTACAAAAAAAAGGATATTTTCTAATTCAAATCAACCACATTACTAATAATATGAAAAGTTTTAGCAATACCAAGAAGCTGGAATTATCCGTTGTTTAAAATAAAATATCCACCAAAATAAAATTTCTACTCCAGCATCAAAAAACTGCGTGCTCTATACGAAATAGTCTCTATCAAAAAAAGCAAAATCTACATCATTTAAGATATTATAAAGCTGAACAAAGAAAAATTAAATCTGTTATAGCAAAAGCATACGTCATCACAGCTAAGACTGAAGTCTGCCAGTACCGAACGACAGCGTGAAGCAATGCTGAAATGAATATAGCAATAATAAATATGCAAAGGTAAAACTTATGAGTACCAACAATAAATGCATGATTCTGACCAAAATCCAGCCAACAATCCGAATATAACTTATAATTACAATTCATATGATTCAAATGTTATTATATATATATATCATGCTTGATATAGAATGAATTTCAAAAAAGTATGGCGTATTGTTCGAAACGAATTAAAAAGTATCATCTGAAATGAAGAACCAAATATGTTAAGCACATTTCAAGAAAATAAAATATACAGTCTAAAAGATACCGGAATTTTCTTAAGTTACTATACTGAAACAATGTGTTGAGTCAGCTGAATAATATCTCAGACAAGAATCAAATGCAAGACTACTACGACCACAATGTAGTCCCTTGAACTGTCGAACTCTCCTCTTCCTCTTCGCTCAATCATTTTTCATTCCACTTCATCCATGATTCCACAGGAACACATTAAATCACTCTCTGGTTTAAAATACGAAAAAAAGAACTTTATATACAAAACATTCAGGAATTGAACTGCAGTTAATCTCGTGCTCAACAAAATTTACATGTTCATTTTAACTTTATCTATTTACATATTTTGCTCTTACTTCACTCATTTCTGTATATTTTTGCATTTATAGTTTTTTAAGAGCAAAGGCATTTGGTAATTGATACCGAAACCATTACAAGTGTATAGAAGCAAAAAAAATAAGAGTAAAACATGTAACTGAAGTGAGGTTAATATCCTACTGAACAAAAGTTACTTGTTCATTTCTAAGGAAATTTTATGAAAAGCAGAATCTAAGCAATACGTAAGAAAAATTTCTTGATAATAAGTATACTCAGTGCACTCAATAATTCTACTGTAGCAAGCAAATCTTGTAGAATAACATATAAAACCGTTTTATTGAAGAACAAAGCTGAAAGTCCAAAACTAAGAATTTGAGAAAATTTGCAAAAGTCGCAAATCCATTTAAAAAAACTAAAATACTGAAGAACAAAATGCTATGACATAGACAAAGAATCAACATGATTGATGTCACCATACTTGTTCATTCAAGAAGTGATTTGGATAAATATTTACAATATATTGAATAGTTACACGTTATTTGAACGTGATTCACATAACCTGTACCATATGATTGTCCCATTACTCTATTTGATTCCAACATGATCCACGCTGCGCTGCGGCAGTCTACAACAATGAGAAACATCTCTTCTGGTATCCATAGGATATGTCATAAACAAAGTAGGTCACGGAAGTATGCAAAATACTGACTGTTTAGATATCTAAACAGTTCACGCACTGTATGAAATCAAGTAAAACCAACTTACATGCTTGGTGCAACTGCGCGGTTATGTATTCCGATAAAGCTAAACAGAAATAAGAGTGAAGGCACGCAAGCCGAAAAGACAAGATGTTTTTGCAATGATTCAACCAAAGTCACCTAGAAAACTCTGGAATTTGCAAAGCAACTGTCTACAAAAAATAAATGCAAAAATTGAAATAGGAAATCACATGGAATTAAAAAATGAAAGTAACACGCACAGTACGTATGGAGGGATCTTTCAGCCAGAAGTAGGCGCTCCACAATGTACATCCAAATGCGACTAATAACACCACTGAAATACACATAAATAATCAAGAAAAACTCTGGAAGATGTGATGATCCATGAATGTACAATTTTTGCAGTCTACTAGATATTAGAGTGGAAGATTTTGGAGTCCTATCTGAATCCTAATCAGCTCTTAAAAATAAGATATTTCTTTTCATGAAAATCGTTCGTAGCAACAATGGTATAATTTGCTAATATGTGAAGTTTAAACGGAATAATCTGATGACTTTATTAACAAGCCTACTAATAACAGCATAAGGCATTCACCAGCAGATTACATCCTGTGATAGCCACTAACAGATTACATCCTGTGATCACTCAGGTCTTCAAATTGTATTACTTGCAAGAAAAATGTAAAGTAAACGAACACGTGTCTGGGCCACCTAATGAAAATACAAAAACAACTCACACCGCCACCTTGTTGCAGCTGGCTGCATACTCTGAATTACTTCCGTTAGACGTCTTTCAAAGTAACGCAGATCTGAAAAACACTTTTGCATATAAAAAAGATAATTTAATTTTACAGACAAATAGGTGAGCTAAAATTAGGTGAGCTAAAATATCGACAAGTAGCAAACTTTCTGAACCCCAAGATAAATTTCGAACCTTTCCATTTGATCAAATTCTACGATATGTCCTAATTCGGAGCAAATGAAAAGCAAGATACCTTCACAGGCTGCAGAAGTCTCATCCATGACCTGGCCAACGTACTCCTTGTTTCTACATTAGTCTAATTTGATAGCTCGATTGGTAGAATATAAGCTGGAAATTGATGATTTAAATCCAAATACATCAAATTTAAAGCTCGGGATTGGAAATCTTACGTCTGATGAGATTATTCAGAAATTTACAGCTGATGTCACAAACTACAAGATTTGAAGTACAAGTACTTCAAATAAGCTCTATCTCACTTATATCACCTAATTATGAGGAACCAATTCCGCAAAGTGTCCACATATTCATGATGATTGTAACTTTGAAAACCCAACAAATCAACAAGCCATACATCATTTCCTTCACCATATCCGTACCAATACACCCTGGGAATGTGTATCAGATCTGGAACATAAATTGCGAGAAAACAGAGCTAAATGAACGGAGTCCGCAATTTCGGTACTGGTTGGAAGTTTAACGGGTAAGTTGTAATAGCTATGGTGTAGCAGTGATAGTAGGTTATCATCCGAAATTAATGACAATATATAAGGATGTCACATGGAGTGAATCGGAAAAAGACCGGAAGATTATGGTATTTTCTGCTTCGAGAAATGTGTAACGGGGATACTTAGTCCTGGAAACTTTTATCTTCTGTAGCAACGATCAGTGATAAGATATTTGAGTCGCATTTTTCAATTTTTATTAACTGACAAGCTTCTCTGATGCCTTTTTCGACTTTTATTAACTGACAACGTTTCTTCGATGTTTTTTTCGACTTTTATTAGCTGACAACGATTCTTGGAGTCGTCATCATTTCAGCTGGATTGATTGCAATTGATGAGTTGCTTTTGTTTGTTAGTTAAATTTACTGCTGGATAATTAATAAGGAAAGTTTTAGTTATACTGGCTAGGATGTAGGGACTTCATATGAGGAAGCTGTAATGATTGTGTTTTCTTGGAATGAGTTGTCTGTTGTGGGATGTCATTATCATTACGTCTAAAAGAGTCTTTCTACAAATTTCTTTCGCACCCATTTCTCCTTTAGCAGATCCACTACTTCTAATTTAATTAGTTTCAATACCCTACCTGTTTGCCTCTTAATTTGCCTTCATGGAGCTTTTGTGCTCTCTCATTAGAAGTCATAAACTATTAGAGTGCAGTGGAAGTCACTTCTTCGGGTTTTTTGCAGATTTTCAATACTTAACAGCCTTTGCAGGCAACTTCTGGGAATGGACTCATCGTGTCAGAAACGCTTGACGAAAGAATACCAACAGCTCACACTCGAACCACCAGCTGGTGTCCACATAAAAGATGAATCAACACATGATTTGCGACTTTGGACCGTTTATGTTGACGGTGCTCCGAATACACTTTACGCTGGTGAAAAGTTCACACTAAGAGTAATTTTCCTTTTCTTAAGTTAGCCATTAAGCCATGGATGTTTGTCCTACAACAGACATATCAACATCGTCGGGTTTTTTGCTTCTGTATTAATTGATGACACAGCTGTTCACGATTTTCGATAATGTTGCACTTTTCGATTCAAGCCATATCCTCAAAAAGTTATTGGGTTATTCCTCCGAAAACATTAACTTTTCCTTTTCTGAAGGAAAAAAAGAAAGAAAAGAGGATGATTGCATAGTGAGTGTTTCTTATGAATTTTTCGAGAATTCAAAGGGAAATTTAAAAAACTGCTCGGTAACAATATGACGAAGTTATGCTGTTGAAGAGTAGTCACATGACTGACCAGTGACACAATATCTTATTGATTTGTGCGAAACTTCTGGGACATTGTTAATAATTCTTGGCAATTCCTTAGAGATGTATAAGTATTAATTTTTTGCAAATGTAATTCCGGAATGCTAGGAGTTCCATTGCCTGTAATCAGCTTCAGCTTCGTTTTGGGACGTGAAATCTTGTCTGAAAGATTCGTAGATTTTATCTACCCATCAGTAATGGAGAATAAAGTCTGAGGTGCGTTGTTTGGTGTCTTGACACACTGAGATCAATTACAAATGAAGAGTTAGAGTGAAGTAATAATCAGTATTTGTAAATGAATTGTTGCAGAAGTTTCCTTCTACCTTGTTTTCAACGATACTTTTCTGTTTTTCTTTTTCAGTTTCGTTTCCCGGATGAGTATCCTTTTTCTTCACCCGAAGTTATTTTCATTGGTGATAATATCCCCATTCATCCGCATGTATATTCCAATGGTCACATTTGTTTGTCGATTCTCAGCGATGACTGGACTCCTGCACTTTCTGTGCAGGCTATCTGTCTCTCTGTGCTATCCATGCTTTCTTCGTGCAAGGAGAAAAAACGACCACCAGACAATGCTGTCTATGTGCGCACCTGTAGTAAAAGTCCAAATAACACACGGTGGTGGTTCCATGGTAAATTTTTATCGTGATTATTTCATCATTATTGTTTAACAACATTTTTGCTTTAATGGTTGGTTTTTTTCATAAATAATTTTATTTAAATTAATTCAAAATATTGTACACTTAAAGGCGGCGATTGCTGTAATCAAGTCTTTATATAACAGATAAAAAAATTCAAAATGTTTTGCAGGATTTTTAAAAATTTCATTTTGTTGTATTCAGTGATTACTTTGAGTTGGTGATCATCGATATCTATACATTCGATACTGATGATCATTGTCATATACAGATTAGATAATTTACATGACATTTTCTTGATTTGGTTAAAACTTTTGAGAATAAGTCCTGTTCGCAAACCTTGCAGTGCTGATAAAGTCTTATAGGATTTTTATTTTAATTCTTTTACTTTTTTTACATTTCAGATGATACAGTGTGACAAGTATTTATAGACTCCGAAAATATAGAGCTGATTTCATCCTAAACATTTCCATGGGATACAACAGTTATTTCAGTTATATTCATCTTGTTTTCTATACTTTCGATTATATTTTTGTCAAGCTTTAGAACATTGAATGTTTTTGCAGTGTATGCATTCTCAAAAATCGTTTTACCATTCCACCAAAACAACTGTTCATCATAGCGATCTTTTATATTTTAGAAATTTCAACGTTAAAAAGCTTCAGCTGAAAGGAATGTGTGTTTCCAGGTGCGATCTGTGTGTATGTGGGGTTTTAAACGAGTTATAGAATATTTATAGAACATTTCTAATTTTGATTGATTTTTTATGCTGCTTTCTATGTTTTTCAAAGCAATTTTTGGAAGTTCATGTAGCAGTATATAACTGTACAAGAATTCTTGTTTCTTGTTTTCAAATATCAGAATATAACATACTTTGATGAATTTTTTCTGTAAAATTTTTTATAAAGGCATAATTAAAAATCGATTGCAATGGACGGAAAGTTACTAGCACTTACAATACTAAAGTTAGAACGTCATATTTCGAAAACAAATAAGTCTTTATTAGCTTGCATGGCTATGCGTGATATTAGAAGATAATCTGTGTGTTTTAGACTTTCAGACCTAGTGTTTCTTGTAAAGCTTCAAAAGCTTCCCTTCTCACAATTTTTTTATTTTTAGCGGCTGATTTTTTTTTGTTATTGAAAAGTCTTATTTTAATAAATTCGAAAAGCAGTGCATCTGTGTTCGAATGTACATATCTTCCTTGTCTTTTTCACTTTTTAAGAGCAGTAATTGTTGCCATCAAGTTGTGTAGGTACTAATAACAAAAATGCAGACATGGTTTGCAACAGCTTTTTAAAAAACTTCATTATATTCAGTGATGATGATCATCAGCATGCGGTTGTACATGCGGTTAGTAACATTAAAAACACCTGAATGGAGATTAAAAAGCTCGTTCGATCTCGTCGGTCAAAGTAGGTTTGGTTTTGGTTTAATTCTCTTAGGTGCTTTTGGTTTAGTTCTGCTAGGCTAAGATTTAAATTCCATACCATGATAGCGTTTGCTTAAGAAATATCTTAGAAGAGATATGCATGTTGTCGCATTCATCATCACTTATCGTGTATTCGTCTTTAATATAGATCAATTTATCATCATTTTTCAGGTGTTTTTATGTATTTTGTCTATTTTCATTTATCTAGAATCAAAAAGTGCTTTCTCTCGTCATGTGGGAGATTTATTCAGTGGTGATGCTAAACACTATTTGAAATATGGCCAAGAGATTTAACCGTGAGATTGCGCTTGAGGTTTGTATAATAGAGCTTGGATTAGCTTGTCAAAATAATTGATTTTTAATAGTGATAACTGTATTTGGTCAGTTTTTCCATCGTTTTCTATTGCTATCATTGTTGTACTCAGTATTGAGCTATCTTGTGTTGTAGGAATTTGTATTAAATAAAATTTTTGGTAGTCATTTTTTTTCGTTTTATGGTTTTTTTAGCGATTGATTACTAATGGTTTTCATTGAATTGAATAATATTAGAACAGCTGTTATTAAACAGAATGGAGAATCTGGAATCTTGAATTTTCTACTGTTGGTTTTTATGTTTTTGTCACGTTATTGATCGAAGTTCGAATAAGCATGGAAGAAGGAAGGAATCCAAATGAAGACATTTTTAAGGAACTGTTTGGTGGAAATAATACGCTGCTTGGTCATTATTCTACACTTTTCCTACTACCGAGTGAATTTGATTATGGTATCTGGACACATTGGCAGACTACTATTAACGTGTTTTTCGTTTCTAAAGTGAATCCATTATCGCACTTTTGTAGTGATAACGGTACTGTTACCATAACAGGAATCTTACATGAAATTTGATGGACCTCAGGAATACTTTAATTTGAGGATTATCTGATGAATATTATATCTAATGAGAGGATTACGCTTTCATTTTTCAACTTGGGATTTAAGCAAGCGTTATGAATTATTTTTCTTTCTAATGAGATTTTTGAAATATTTATGAAACATGCGGCTGATATGACTGCATTAGTGTAATTATTACGATGATTGGCTTTCACCGAAGAACCTCTGTTTCTGTGTATCTCTTATCAAATCGTTGACCACTCTTATCAAATCGTTCACCTATAGTATCTGATTTTAAATTTGTTTCAGTCACAGGGCTTTTTGGGCTTCAGATTCTCCCTTTAAATGGAACTTTCAATTGCACTGCTAAATCTTCAATTTTGCTGTATAAAAATGAACGATCAATGGTGTAAAAGTAACGTTGACATTTTACTGTCGTATCGATGTTATGTTTTCAATAATCAATTTTTATTTATTTCCACCGAATAAAGAAGAAATTATCACAATATGTGTAAGGATCTCCTTTTCTGTAGTAAGACAGGTAATTATAATTTTTATGTCTCCGTGTCTTTTAAACACGTTAACAATCACGGGAAAAATTGCATTCCAACTTTTAACGATAGTCTCAATGCTATAGTCAAAGTCGGAGTTAAAATTGGTTGCGAAGATCTTGTTTTCTGGTAAATACATTTTATATCTATAAATGTTAATTTATACAGTGTCTAATATAAATAAGAAGATATCATCTAACGAAGTAATGTGATGTGACTTATGAGGTGTTCATGAAAAGAGAAAATGTCCAAAATATTTGCTGCCCCAACATTTTTTCTATTACCTTTCCTTATTCGCTAATAATTGATACATTTTTAATATCTAATTCATTTAGCAATGTTTCTTTCATCATAAATTCTCTTGTTCCTTTATTCGTTTAAAATTCATGTTGTAATTACTGTAATTTAATTACTTAAAAAATACTTATATGAAACTGATTCTACTGGAATTTTGCTATTGACTAATCACTCAAAATTTTTCCACAACATTCATGCAAATGACATTTGAATAATAAATTAAAGTATTTTCAAAAATCTACCTCAATTGTGACAGACTACAATAAATTCAAAATAATTCATTATATGAATTCAACTTCTTCATTGTTTATTCAACAATAGCACTGCGATTTATCTTTTGATATAAGCACAATATTGAATAAACAATGAAAAAGTTGAATTCATATCAGTGCAATTTTCCAAATAAATATATTTATGAGAAATATATGCAGTATATTATCAGTTGAAATGATTTAGAAAATAGGTTTGCTTGAACATCAATATTTCAATTAGTAATTTTTATGGATTTCTTGTTCCAGTGTCTACCAGTCGAATTCAACTGAAAACCCTGAAATATTGATTGAGACCACGCGGTTACTTATACTAAATGGACTGAATTAAGTTTTGAAATACAATTGTTGATATTGCAAATTTATTATGTGAAAGTATTTGTGATCTTGAATATTTGAATGCCAATTTTATAAAAGCAGAAATTGCTCTCAGAAATTTTGACCTCAACTAAGGAGAATTTCAAAGTGAGCATTTAAATGTCCGAAAGTTGGATTTGTATAATTAAAATTGTCTATTTACGAGGTTTAGAGCATACTGATATGAGAGTGAGATCGCTAAACTTAAACATAATTCGAGAATC